GATATGATATCAAAATATGATCCACTCGTATCTGAAATATTAGGCAAGAAAATTGTCGAGTAAAGCTTGTCAAATCTGTTAAGTTTTAATAATATTAATTACATTATGCAATTCGGTACAAATAGCTTGAAATACATCATGCCAAAACGCAATGCCCCGTATTGTGGTCGGATGCAAAACTAAACTACATTGCAGTTCAATGCACAGATTGCACCTGTAAGTATCGATCCAAAAGTACATTGCTAAAGACAACTCTTTACTAAATTATGTTTATTCTAAACATGTGAAAATATTGTAAACAATATTGGCATATCGGAGACTTTATAAAAATTATATGTTCATATCTAAAGAGATATTATGAAAGAAATTGATTTATAATTTTCTCTCAATTTTTTTTTCATATAGCGGCCATAATTGTGAGTAAAATCATATATTTTTTTTTTATTTTTAATATTATATCCTGAATTAACAGCTTATATCTAGAATAATTCAAATATGATATATTTACACCATACATTAAGCAATTACATATTTTTTTTACAATTTGCGTACCGAACAATATTATACTTATTTTTGAGGGTACTCGCAAAATAAATTCAATGAAGATACTTATTCTAAACGTCGCTTTAGTTCTCGTAATATTTTTGTATAGAAGTGTGTATTATCTGTATGTAAAGTGTTGCATTAATGTGGTGTATAAAGAAACAATGTATTGAGCGCGTATTGTTTTGTATAAAGAAAGGATTACCTGCAGCTAATGTCATAATTTTATTAATTCTAAAATTGGATATCGTATTAAAAATTTTCTTAATTATTAGTAAATATATTTAATTTTTATGTATTGTAAATATTATATATCTATATATGCATGCACTCTAAAATAAATAAAACATATTTATATGATATTTTATATTTGTAATTATGTGAAAGATATTTTCATACTTAGTAATCTAGTCAGGTAAACATGAACGATGAAACTGAGGACTTCATTTTTACTAGAGGATCTAGATTTAACGTGAGCTGTAATATATTTTATGTGCCAAATAAAAATGATAGGTATTGTTACATTGAAGTGGAGAACTAACAATTGTAATAAATAAAACTACTGCTGAACGATTCTAGTAAAAGAACCAATAATTATTAATGGCATGTACTTTGAATACTACGTGAATTTTGTTGCATTCATAATATCCCTAGTGTTGCAAGCGTCTATAGCTCTAGACTTAGAATATATAGATAGAGTGTCTTCATACAAATACTTCGAGAAAAGTAACTCATCTTTATCATATAATTTTGTATAATATATATTTATTTTGTCTTATAAATTTTGCACCTTTTTAATGCGCAAAAACTCATTTCATTTATTAAATATAAATACATCAAGATATATTGTGTGCGTAAGTATATAGAACATTAATTAAAAAAACGAGTCAATTATTGTCAAAAAATTAAACCGTTTTTGAGGCTCGATATCTACATAATCTAAGTAAGGCTAATGTGGCCGTTTACCATCAAACAGGCTGTATGTTTGTCTACCACCTTTGTGGTATAAAAATAACAATAAATATGAATTTATTATGAAAATTACTATTATGAACTCTACCGAACTGACATTAAAATTGTTAATAATCAAATGTTAATATAATTCAGTAAAAATGTAAAAATATACGAGGCAATAAAGAATAGTCTATCGCTTCTCTACGAGAATACAAACATCAATGCTAAATAACTGTATACCGATACAGCGCCGCCGTAAATTTAGAATGTACGATGCAGTTTTGAATTATTTGATAGTAACTTTTGTTTGCGATTGTACGATGGCAGTTCATAGCTCATAGCGATAATACAGTTTCCGAACCGAATTGATTATAAGCCCGAACTTGACGTTCTACTATTATTATGTATGATGAACGGTATGTGTTCACATTTAGTTGATTCAGGTGTTATATTAGGAAAGTCACTTGTTAATGAATAGTGTTACTGTTTGCGCATGACAGTTATTTGTTTGTTTTACTATAATACTGTATATTGTACAAAAGTCGATTGTTTGAGTACCTCTGTCCCATTCGTGTTTCTACCGTGAAGCAGTTGTGTTTGCATGGCTGTATTTCGGTTTGAAGGGTGGGATATGGCGTGAATTTACAGGGTACAGAGGAATAACACCTGAGTCCTTAGGAATGGCAACGTTAAAGCTTCAAGTATCTCTCAAAGGGCTATGCTCGGAGTCTCTGCGTGATAGAATCCGAAACGAGGATATCCGCAAAAGAACCAAAATAACCGACATAGCCCGAAGGATAAGCAAGCAGAAGTGACAATGGGCTGGTCACATACCTCGAAGATCTGACAACCAATGGGGAAGAAAGGTTCTCGAGTGGCGACCGTGTACGGACAAACGCAATATAGGACGACCCTCCACTAGATGGAGTGAAATGCATTGCAGGGAGTCAGTAGATGCAGGTGGCTCAGGACCGTTATTTATGGCGGTCTATGGAGGAGACTTATGTCCAGCAGTGGACGAATAATGACTGAAATGATGACTACTACTGCCCACTCACCACTTCCTATGCAACTGTGTTAAGTTGACTGGAAGAAATCTCTTTATAGAGATAAGTTCGCCTTTGCTAACTTTGTTATTAACTTGTTGTTATTACTGTATGTTTTAGTGCAATAAAGAATATATATTTTATTAGTGTTGCCCGTATAGTCTCGGTATAGAATAGGCCACCCCTTCCTTTCCTGTGGGTGTCTAAGAGGAGACTAAGAGAGGGCGAGGGATTGGCAGCGTCCCTCTTAAAATATCTCCAAAGTCTAACTGCAGTTGCCAATCCAAATAAGCCATGCCAAGCCATAATGTTTTCGATTACAAATATATAATTAATGTGATTATTGTCTGTATATATCTATTTATCACTAACATACAAAAGGGAAACATTGCACAGAAGTCCTTTGTTTGAGTACCTCTGTCTCGTTCGTGTTTCTACCGTGAAGCAGTTGTGTTTGCATGCCTCTGTTTCGGTATAAAGGGTGGAATATGGCAATTAAATTACATGGTACAGAGGCATGGCATATATATATATACACACACACACAGTATACTATGGTATATTTCCTATTGTATGCCCATGATGCTGTTCATGTTTATAGTCAACGGTTAACATTTTCTATTAGTTGGGGTCAACAGTTCGTTTGCCATTGCCATGAATACAAACTTATTTGCAAAAAATGTGATTATATGTTAAAACAAATAATACATTACTTTTTTATTAATACATTAGATCTACTGGGTGAGCCTTACAGTCTTTCAATACGCTCACCCAAGAAAGCATGAGTACAATAACATATAAAAAGGATGTATAACACATAACACACAAAAGTATTAAACAAAAGTAATATAAAAAGATTTAACTGAAACAAAAAAACGTCTAAACACAAATAGTCTGTGTGTGTATTTATTCCAGTAATATGTCCTTTTTCTTTTTTTTTTCAATTCTTATATATAATACTCGAATTAATATGAGTATAAATAAATTGCTCACTTCATTTACAAGTGTCCGAAGCATGTTATGTATATTTTACAAATTATAAAAATAAAATTATAAATTTCTCCATATTATTCACACACATCTAACATTCTGCAATATCAAAGATTTGTTTACGTGTATAGACGACAGTTATCCTTTTGCATTAGGCCGACCGCCAGCTTGTTTGCCTTTCCCGAGAAGTGAGATGAAAATGAATCGCCCTTACTTAATTTTCTTGGCATGTTTGAACAATCGGCAACACAATGACGATGTTGTTAAATCCACATACAGAGCAGAGAGTTCTGTTCCATTTACAGCTTTGTGTACTGGATCAATCAATGAGTGGTACATATAATGAATTCTCATTGAAGTTAGTTCCATTGACACGATTTGGTTTGGTACATTTAATTTTCTTAATATTTTCCGTGTCACGAAATTCTTTAATGCAAGTATAATTTAATTTATCCCCATTTTAAAAAAAAGGGTTATATAATATCAGTGTTTTATTTTTGTTTTTTTCTATAAATCTGTGTGCTGTGGCATGACCGATTACGATACGTTTTTTTTTGGAAGTCGACGTAATCGAAATAGATCTTAGTTAAAATTTATGAAGATTAAATTAGGCGATACGGGAGTCACTTAAAATCTTTAATTTTACTTATTCTTAAATAGCCGTATTGGAGAGCTAGAACTTGGGGTTTCCTTGAACTTTGTTTAAGCTTTCTTACACTAAACATGAATTATATTTATATTGACTATTAAAACTTTGGTTTCTTGTTTGACAATGTTAACAGTTCTTTAATAACAGACAGTAACTGCTTGTAGCTGCGTAATTAAAGCTCGTGTACGAATATTTAGGAATATGCAATAGTTTTTTAAGCAATATAAAGCGGTTGAAAATTACACGGAACTGAATTTTTAATGTAATATAATTAAATTTTTTCCACTATTAATGTATTATTTTAATGTTCTATGGCTTTTGGTGAGTTCATTGAGAAATCTGTAATGCTCACCAAAACTGTGTGTGTATATATATATATATATATATATTGTAAATAAATACATATTCCTTTTAAGTTTCCCCTAGAAACCATCATAGTTAAGTCTTGATTATTTCATCATAATGGACCTGACCTGTTTTCATATTCATATACCTCACTACCTAATCGCCCTAACTCCTAACATCTGATCTGTGTCATCTTCATTTATCATACTTCACTGTTGCTCTGCCAGCTTAGCCCGATAGCGCAAGCGAGGTTACCATTTTATTACCTTCCATTGAAAACGATATAACGATTCATAGATATGTATCCATATTTCCATATGTGTGTATACACATATATATACATACTTAATGATTATATTCATTATGTATTTGTATCTGTAAACGCGAAAAAAATTTTCGTCAATCTGACACATCACTACTTTGTATTATGTCAAGGATATAAATCTAATTATATTTTCTTATCTTCCTAACAGTTACGATACGAGAGTAGAAGGACCAACCGCACATTGGACAGATGACGCGTTCGCCAAGCGAACTCTGTGGCAGAGCTCTCCGCACTCCGCTCTGCGCGTGCGCGACGTGCAAGCCCGCGATCGTGCCACCTACAGATGTCGTGTCGACTTCCAGGTGTCACCCACAAGAAATTATTTGATCGCGCTCGATGTTATTGGTAAATATCTTTTCTAATTCCTAATTAATAATATTTAGAATAGCAAATAAGCTGATTGCCCACCTGATAAAAAAACAATAAACCATTGTTTATAGACATGAACACTACAGTATACATAGCGATGTCTATAGTACACATCATGTGTTGCCATTCATAAGGAACAGTGCTATTTCTTCGAATCTTGTAAATTCACAGCCATATTTTTCAACATTCAAACCAAAACAGAGCCATTCAAATAAAGCTATTCAGTCACTTCAAACTGCTTAACAGCAAAAATACGAATTATGTTGTTATTTTATTTAAACTATTTTATTGTTGAGCACAAGCAAAAATTGCAGGGAGCAAATGGTTTCCTGCAATTTTTAATTTTGACTTCAAAATTAAAAATTGCAGGGAACCATTGTATTTTCTAACTGCAACTAACAATGTAATCTATGGTACAATTCAATACAAAAGAAAAGGCGATAAATTTAATACATACATATCTGTCACGCCTGTCTCCCGTTAAGGTAGGCAAAAACAATGGAATACTAAATGCTTCGATTCAAACAAAACTCTTTCAGTTCTTCCTCATTCATCAATCTTTTCAAACACGCTCGCCGGTTACGGGTACTTTTAATTTGGCCCTTCTTCAGCACGTCGCTTATTTGGTCGACATATGTCTTGGGCAGTCCCTATCAACATCTTTATTTATTCTCGTTCGATAAATCTCTTTCGTAATTCTTCTTTCATTCAACCTCTTTAAATGGCCAAACCAATGCAACATTTCCTTTTAGATTTCTGTCACTACATCGTTTTTTCAGTCCACACTGCTCTCTAATCATACTGTTTCTTACTTAATCTTTTAATGTAATACCACACATACTTCTCTGGACTCTCATTTCTATAGCATTTATCTTACTTTCATGCTTCTTCTGTCATACTCACAATTCACTTCCATACATGAGTGCTGGTGTCAATACTCACCGAAGTATGGCAAAGTGAGCTTTGCTTGATACATTTTTGCTTGCCATAATTGAGAGCAGTGTACCGTTAACACTACAACATTATAACAAATATAAATCTCACTATATCACCAGTTCAATATATTTTTATATAAATTGCTAAATCAAATAAATTTAAAAGTTACATACGTCTTACCCGCATTAATATTCATACACTTTGCATAAATACAAAAAAATATTGGAGTATTGTAAAAAAAATATGGGGCCCAGTATTGATCCTTGAACGACCTTCTTCTTCAAATGACAAATCTCGGATATCAATGCAAATAGCTATGTTGAAGGTATGCGCCGTGATCCATGACATCCATTTGATATCTACCCCGAAGTTGTGATTGGAATCATAAAACATATTTTCTTTAGTATATAATATCTATATATCTGTATTATTCTAATTTCAGAGTTACAACGTTTACATAATCTAATATTAATAAAGTCTAACTGCTATAGAATGATGTGGGAGAGGGAGGGAATGAATGGAAAATGCGGGGGACGATAAATGTTTGTCGAGTATGCATATGTACTTGATGCTATAAAATAAATATCATTAGTAATATTGAAAACTCGAACAGAATCTAAATTATATTTAAATATCTGTAAATGGTATAATATCCTAAATTAGTGTAAAGGATACTTTATATCCACGTGGATGAAATCGTAGTATCCAACTAGTTATTCAAATTTGTACCTACATACATAATATTAATGTAGATCATTTGAGGAATTAGCTAATAAATTATACGTAGAGTTATTTCAAGAGTCCTTGACATGAAACCGGCATTATAAACGTTGTACTTTAGGTAATAAAATGTTTCATTTCATAAGCTCGGTTTATAAAAATTACTAGTATTTAGGATTCTATACTAAAATTACAAAATATCATTTAGCATAGATTGTATCGTTCCGATATTAAAATTTGGTCATTTGCCTGTTTCTACCTCACACACTTTAAGAAATAAAATACAACGAAGAATATTAACTAAAAACATTAATTATAGTCTAATTTAGTGCTATTTTTACATATTTATTTATTTTTATTTCATTTTAAGCTTTAAGGTATGCAGATTTATTGATAAATACACTATGATGTAAATAAATAAATGTAAATAAATTTAATAGAATTAACAATTTATTAGTTTTTGAATATGTTATTTAAACATTTTTTTATACATTGTAAAAAAGATCAAGTCGTATGCCTAAACGTAATATGAAACTAAAACACAGCGTTATTAATACCAATATAAATGCTAATACTTCTGGTAATGGTACTATTTATGTCATTATCCTAATAGAAATTATAATTACCTCAATATTAAAAGTGTTACATATTAAATGTTGGTTTTTAGAACTTACGTCCGAATGGACGGATGTTTTTTTTTCCGATGTCTATTTACATATATAACGGGAAATTAACAAACTCATTGTAATTTTCCATTTCCGAAAATTGTTTCGACTTCATCCGGAAGTGTTCTTCAGAGGGTGTTTGACGCTTTGCATCACAGTGTCTTGTCTCATACTGCGGGCCGCAGCTACTATAGCCCGAGGTGATTTGGTTAGGGCGGGGGTGGGAGGGTCGAAATAGCGGTACCCTAGGATAATGATGTAGTAGGAGATTAGTAGCTGTATCTCGTGTAGTTGTCGTTGACTGTAAAGGACTTTCTTCTACACTGCTGCTCTCTTCTGAGTTGTTCAACATAGTCCTGAGACGCAAAGATGTATCTTTTTTTACTAATTCATGTAGTGACCTTCGACATACTTGGAGACAAGTTTTCCAGGCTTGCGATAAAACCTGCCTTTTATATCTATTGAAATTAATTTCAATAGGTTAAATTATTATTAATTTACACTACTGAAACGTTTTTCATCTATCCTAGTACCAATAGAGTTCATAATTCAGTATGAATTAAAAATAGAATATGTGTACCAGCAAATTCGGAAGTTCTATCTTCTATAAACATCTAGGTTGCTTGGAAGAGATCGCTTGTTGTGACAAAATTTTCCATTGTTCTTTATTTGTGTGATATGTCTCATAATTTTCTTTTCGGCTAAGAATTCTATTACAATATCTATTTTGGTCGGAACAATAAAAAGTACCAACATATTTATCTGTATATAAATATGTCACAGTAAAGCATTAGTCTTCTAATTTTATCAAGATCCATTAGTATACCTGTAAATAGAAGTTGAAGTCAAGGACAAAATACAATTTGAATGTATTAAAATAAATATTATAATAAATGGAACTACCATATATTATAAACACGAAGTATATAAATGGTTAAACGGTAATCAAATATTTCCATGTCATTTAGAAAATAGTCATTAAGTAGTACAAATTAAGTACATAAGCGATTTTAATATTTACGAAATTACACATAAGTAAAACAATTACAGTAAAAAAAAAACAATAATCAAAATCGGTTAAAATGTTATGAAAATATTGCATTAATGTATATGCATACGAAAAAAAACAGTTGAATGAACAACTTCCAATGAATCCGAAATTTAAATTGAACGAGATATTAACTTAGAAATAAAAAAAATATATATAACGAACAAAATAGATTATGAAAATACATACTACATAAAATTTCTAACAAAGTATCGCATATAATTTGTTGATGATTTGTTTGATCTACTTCTGTGTACACCATAATTCAATACCAAATATAGTAAAAGAGAAATAGTCGAAACTAACTAAATGAAATTCATTATAGTTCGAATAATAGAATAAAGCGCACAATTTCTACTATTATTCTAGCTCAAACTATATTTAGTATTCATCTAAATGTGAAAGCTGTTTCTCTTTCATTTAATAAAGAGAGAACAAAAAATTAATCTCAAACGTTCTTTGTCTCTGCCAGGTTTATAATTAAGCGAAGAATGGGCCAAACACATTTCTAAAGATTATCTCAAAGTTTAAACGTGCACCTACATATCGCAAAGATCTTGGCAACTTTAAATTCGCACCTAATCTCACGCCGTATCTTCTCCCCTTTTTTGTGTTTTAATAAAATAACTCAACCCGAAACAGTGGGGCTAACAAAAGCTATGAAAAGTCGTACCATCGGGTAATCTCGATAAAAACCGGTACGGTCATAAACTTGACCCTCCGTTATCCTCTCAGAATCAACACGAAAACTAAAGAAACTCTGGCCCGGGAATGATTTACGTTCAGTGACAGTAAAAATGTGGGTCATATTGGGAATTAAAATTTTATTGTTATTGTCGTCTTAAGATCGAGGAGATAAGATAATATATACTTGGATGGACGTATCTTTAATTTTTCAACTGAATGGAGGCTCTCAATCTGACTGAACTCGTATATTTTTTATGTTTTTTATTGAAATTGGACTTTTTTGTTCTGTCATCGTATTACTAGATGGCACTGTTTAGAATTTTAGTAAATATTGCAGAATACCAAAATCTAAGACACAAGGTATTAGTTACACAAAATAGACGGACTTTTAGCATAGCTTTCATTTAGATAAATTTATATTTTGTATTATATTTTTTTAAATGATTCTTTTTATTGAGGTATGCAATGTAAAAGGTAATGCAAAATAAATAAAATTGATAAGCGAAGTGACGATAAATGTGGTAATAGTTTTCTAATTTTTTGTCTACTTTTTTTTGTATATACACAAAATATTTTGCAACAATTTCGATAACAATTTTTGCAATATACTAGATTTACTCTTGTGTTGATCTCATATTAAAATTTCTTACGGTAAAAGTAGTTTTCTGTTAAACATAACCTTAAATTTTATTTCACATAATCGTCAAATAGCTTCAGTGAGTTCATAAAGTGCTCTTTATTTTGTATAAAACGTATCTCCGTTCCAAGTTTGGACTTAATAAAAAATAATAGGCATTTTCGTGAAAGAAGTGATTAAGTTTAATTTAGAGCCGTGGTAGGGATTCTAAAAAACGTTGATTTTTGAGCAAGTATTTCTTCAAATTAGTCCTCCATTATATTTGTTAAAATAAATAGAATAGAAAAAAACGTATTGAGGTAGATATTTTAATATTTCAAGTACAAATAATAGATTTATTACTTCGCGAAAATTACAATTCGTAAACATGATGTTTAAATTCGGATAAAAGTCGGTTAAATAATATTTAGAGTTGAATCATCATTACCATCATCATATTAACTATCCATTGCAGAAAATTGAGGGCTTTTGCAAGTAGTTGCAACCACAGTTAAGCTTTGTTGTACATACCAATATTTTTACGCTTATATAGTGTGCTATCATCATCTTCTTAAATTGTGTGTTTAAGAAGATGGTTTCGAAATTGTTAGCCCCTATACTTGGAGTCGCTCTGAGAATGCATTACCATATGAGAGCGTTAGTTAAATTCACTGGAATAAATGAATGTATGAAAAATATTCTTCACCTCGAAGAAAAATAAAGTTGCATAAAGTTTTAAATATAAATGTTACAAAATACAGCTATTTTTCTATTGTAATAAAATTGTAACAAGATGTCTGTATATGGGAGAGGGGTCTTAAACCAATAAATGCCAAAACAATATTTTTAAGTACTTTTGTTTGTCTGTATGTTTGTTTTGATATCACGTAAAAACTACTACATCAAATTATAAGCGGTTTTCGCAATTGTATTTTTGAAGCTCTAACTTAATATACAGTATACGTTTTATTAGAATACGCCATCTATAAGTGAACTTGATCATTGTTTTTTTTTTTTACTTTTGAACACTTTTTCACATATACGAAGTTGCGGGCAAACAGCTAGATTTAAATAATATTACGTAATCAATATAATTAATTACATAAATAATTACATCAAGAAGTCACAACACAGACAATGAGTTGTAAAAATAAAGCAATTAAGTAAATTATTTTTGCAATAAATTATTAAATTTTTATAATCACAAAATGTGATTATTACATTTTACAGAAACGAAATCCTTATCGCTAATAAAAGAACATGCTTATAAATTACAAAATAAATTACTTCTGATATATAGGTATATTGTTAACATTTTCGTAATAAAACTGAATATATTTTGTTTACTTTCACTTTGGGGGAACATCGGAACAAATTAAATTAAAAACTCTGTATACCCAAACTAACCGCAAACTTTGTCGTTAATCTCAACAGATAATTGGAATATTTCAATTAATCCGACACCGCTCGATAAGAACTTGGACATTGATGAAAATGTAAATGCCTTAATCAAAATTTCGACGGTGAGTCCTGATAAGTTATATAGAGCCAGATAAACCCCACGACAAGGTCACACCAGTCAGGTGATCGCGATAATAGGCCGCACGCCCCAAGCAAAACTTCCGACGTTTTATCCCCGCAAATCGACACGAAAACATTTTCAAAAGAAACTAACCATAACTTCCGTGTGCCTAATGGAAATTCGCCCGGAGACTCCTAAGCCTACTCCAACTGTGTACGAATAGATGTTTTCCTTATAATACTCCAATTCGGGTCGTCACTTTCCATTTGTTGTTATTATGTCAGATATTTGTGTTGTTTTTTTTATACAATGACTTTTGGCACTCGGTTTCCGGTTCTTGGTTCGCGTACCTTTTCATACCAGGTCTTTACGCATTACTATACTAATTTGAGAGTTACAGACGACCAAAGCCATAAATATTCACGTCTATACAACAATAATTTGAAAGCCACTAGCAAGTCATCGGCGACGTAAGTCATTAAAATCTAGAACGAACATAAAAGATCAAACGTGATGAAAGTCAGACATACAAAGTTTTACTCAAATTGGGTATTCGATTAGAATTATTTTGTTTAATTCCGCTACCATTAGCATGTGTATGACTGCCAACATCCGAAAAATTACTCTTATTGTTAGATTCCGAGCAGCGATCTATTAATTTGCCTGAAGATACCTCGTTTAGAGTACACGTGTCGCAAAACGTGCTTGAACGAAATGCCAGTCGGAGATTGATACTAATGTGAATTGTTGCAGAACTTTTGGTAATAAGAATAGTAATCAATCTTTATTGGCAGTCGCACATATACTAATGTTAGCGGAATTAAACAAAATAATTCCAATCCAGAATTTTTGGCGTTCCGTTAGTTTTGCCCACCCTAATAGAAGACAGGCGTGACAGATATGCATGTATGTAATTCTAATCAAGTAACCAGTAATATGGACTTTCGCAAGTTAATATCTATTTTAATAAAATATTTATGCTAGAATCACATTGTAGCTACTTTTGTCAACGGCAGCAACTTTAGGTTACTGTAAATGTTCATGTTCATATGCTTATTTGAAGCAACTAATGAGTTGTTTGCGATAAATGACAGATTCTATTTACATTAACTTTATCACTTGCATAATTATGACAAATATATCGATTGCTTGAGTACCTCTGTCCCATTTGTGTTTCAACCGTGAAGCAGTTGTGTTTGCATGGCTGTGTTTCGGTTTAAAGGGTGGGATATGGCGTGAATTTACTGGGTACAGAGGAATAACACCTGAGTCCTCAGGAATGGCAACGCATGGGGGGTATCATGAGCGAAACAATATACTCTGTTATGTCTATGGTACTGCTCATGTCTATAGGCGACGGTTACCACTTTCCATCAGGTGGGCCGTCAGCTTGTTTGCCATTCTAAGTTGTATAAAAATTGGATATGAGAAAGATTCACAAATATAGATGGAAATTATATAAACCATAAGCACGTCACAGATATACTAGATTTAAACACGATTTCATTTACACTTTCTAAATTTATTTTTAACGACATTTGCAACGCTGTTTTCTTTGAAATTTTATGTAAGGACTCGGAATTCTAATTTAGCATGAATTAATTATTCTATTGAACCTCATTTACGACCAAAAATTGACACTCAAAAGACAGACACGGTCGCTATTTAAATCCAACTCTATGGCGTGGATTAAGATCGTGGTTTTGTTTTCTGTCTACACAAAGTACAGTTAATAACGTTATCGACGAAAAATGAGGGTCGAAAATGCTTGTGTACATAATATTGAATCTTACTTAATGTTATTTTCCTTCATGATTTATTAGAATTATCCCGAATAGGCTCTTCCTTGTTCGCAAATTTACTTATCTGGTTTGTGAAGACTTATAAGAGAATGCAAATATTAGATAAAAAATTACTTGCATTTTTATTATGTTCATGCAATTAGATTATTATTTAATATATAATATTATAAAGATCATTGGCACTAATTTTGTCTATCTCAAAGGTATGAATATATAGAATAATAACTGTCTTTTTCTTACGTGTACAGTTTGTTATTTTTTTTCCTAATTCGACAACAACATACTCGAACCAATTTAGCTTTTCCTTTCTCGTTTTAAACCAACATTTTCTTGCAAACCAACTTGCTCTCGCGTTGTATAACAAATGTAGACTGCCGGCCTTACTCTGCGGATTTTACAGTGCTCGTATAGGGAACTAACTCCAATACGCCACTTTTCAAGAAACATGCCGTTTGTGGTTACAAAGCGACAGCTAAAATCCCATCCGAGCAGTCCGCACTTATGCGGAATGTACAAAACAATGAACGGATGGCAGCTGCTCATTTCAGTAAGCGATAGCGACGCAGACGTGAATGAATATGAAAGCTCCGCATGATTGCCGAGATCCTCCTCTGAATACTCATATCACAAAACCTTTTGTTACGAGTCAATGAAAACATTTTCATTTCCTCGGCCACATTCAAGCTACGTTCGTAGTTTGTTTATCCGCAATTTGAAGATATTTGGGGCGCGTTCGATGCCTTTTGTGATTCTCCGCGTACTGATTTCATTTTGATTGTGAATAAATTTTCGTTGAGAACAGAGGTAAACACTGATATTTACATAAACACGCCGAAACGAACGTATCTATTTGAATACGACGGCATGGTAACTGTCGTTTATTCGTAATATTTGCCTATAATTTCAAGTACGTTTGTGATGAGCGACAGTAGAATTTATATTGTTACAAATTCGTGCTAATTTACAAATAATTAATAAAGAAAATATTTTAACACGATATAACCTGTTATACTTAAGGATCAACTAGGGAATACAGAGAATCCAATAATATACAAATATCCCAGAAAAGTCACTAATGCTTTACAAGCTCAACATAAAATAGATTCTGAGAATAACGCTGTAAGTTCTACAATCGAGTTAGGGATTGATTTAGAACCTAGAGCGTGATAATAAATCTATCGTTTTTTTTTCACGCAGAGCTTCCAAGTAAGCCGGTGATCTTTGATGAATACGGCAAAGAGATATCCGGCATCGCAGGTCCTTACAACGAAGGAGGAGATTTCAAGCTTATTTGTTCTGTAAATGGGGGTAAGTCCATGTTTTTATTGCACAGAATTTCTTTTTTGTGTACAATACTTGCTCGGCACGCTTATGTTACAAAAAAAAACTAATTTGATTAAAGTACAAGAAAAGACGAAGGATGAATAAAAGGTTTCTCATTACATTTATATCAAATGGTGAAATCTTAAATCATGTTTATGAGAACGAAATAAATTTACATGTTTCTGATTTACTTTTTTTTGTTTTTCTTTGTCAATAATAGGATTTTCTGCATCAGAAAGGATTGTGAATAATAAAATTTTTATGTTTACTTTTATTCGAATATAAGTATAATTAAGTTTGCCATTATTTTACATATTTTTTCTATTCAAAAAACAATGCCCTTGTTCTTCCATCCAGAAAACTTCTTACTTCGTTTAATATGTTTTCTATTTGACATATTTCCATTGTTTTATGTAATCTATTACCAAGAGTATACTGACATTAAGGAATCGAATCTTCTTAATTACAATAAATAATAATTAAATTTACCTATATTTTAGACGCCATTGCCATATGGTTCTGGTATAGAATGGGCCGCTCCTTTTATTCCGTGAGTGTGTAAGAGGCGGCTGACCTTAATGATCGAAGGGTGGGCAGCAGCGTCTCTCTTAAAACATCACCAAAGCCTAACTGCTGTTGCCAAATCGCTTACCAAGCGTAGCAACTATTGGCAAAGACCACCTTACCGTGACGGCCTGTGTTCAGCAGTGGACAGTGACGACTGACATGATGATAATTTACACAAATTTTCTAAAAAAAATATTGATATGAAAATATACCTAATATAAATATTATTATATAAATATTACTGTTCTAATAAGTTTTGTTTGTTTCAGGTAATCCAACACCAAGAGTGCAGTGGCATCAAGGAGACACGATCCTGTCCACATTAAGTGCCGGTGATCTCCAACCTTCTGGACTCACCAGATCCTTAACTTTAGTTGTCAGAAATGCCTCTAGAGTTCATCAATCATCAGTATACACGTGTACTGCTGATAATACCTTACTAGCACCGCCTCAGAAAGTTACAGTACGAGTTAATCTTTACTGTAAGTATTGAAAGTCTGTACTATTTCAGTAGTGAAGTGATGTATGATATATAGAAAGAAAGTGATTCCTGATACACAACTAATGCTATTTCAGAAATCGGGACAAATTGTAAACTAATTTATACAATAAACTGGTATTATGAATAATTGAAGGATTGTTAAGAAATTTTATTTTTTAAGACTCTATTAAGTAGTTAATGAATGCAAGAAAAATATTGTTCGCTTCAAAGATACAGTCTTGTATATTTTATACATAATATTTTCAGGTTGAGTAAGTAATAACAGGGAAACAAAGCAAGCTAATTCTTTTAATTTTTATAAGCATGTCTGAAGATAAAACTTAGAAACCGGTCACGTGTATAAATAATAAAAACACATGTGCGGTTCTGGTATAGAATAGGTCACTCCTTTCTTTTTCGTGGGTGTTGTAAGAAGCGACTAAGTGAAGGCAAGGGATAGGCAGTAGTGTCCCTCTTAAAATATTTTTAAAGCCTAACTGCAGTTGTTAATCTGCTTGCCAAACGTCGCAACTACTAGCAATACCTCCCAAGCAGGAGCCTTATGTTCAGCAGTGGACATTTAAAAGCTGATATGATGATAAAGATTGGTAGGTAAAACAAGTATTTTGAATAACATTATAGAGTCGAAATAAATTATAATAGAAATAATTTTCATTTCGAAAAGAATATTACAGCAAGCAAATATTATTATTATCAATCTATCTTATTAATTGTATGATTGATTTGAACAGCGGGTAATTAAAGTATTGGCAAAAAAGATGTTAAAACAAAATTATTTATTTCGTAGAAACAGAAGCGAAATGTTTTATCCATAATAATAAACTCATACAACTCAATAACTTTAAATCTATAACTAATATTAACTCAGTTGTAATATTTTGCGTATGTTGTTACATATGTTACGTGTGTTGTTATATTTGGTATAGACATACATATATATTTAACATAAAAGACGATATTCTACGCTCTCAGATAACATGTTTTTTATTTGAAATCTGTTTGCGAATTATCTAGATTCATATGTTTGACGTAGACGGTGTAAAGACTGCGTGTGTTTATTTTATTTATTTAACACTTTATTGGACTTTATACATAAAAATATACAATTAAAATTAGAAATTAAAACTCAGTCGGATAGAATACATATCAAATAATAAATATAAAGAATATAGGTATAAAGACGATTTTGTTACTACGACTAGAGTTTGTTCTTAAAGATAAACTTTAGTAAAAGAACAAACCGATAGAAAAAAAGAGTTTAATTAGAAACCAGTTTAATATATACCATATATGTATATATCAAAACCTTTGTTCTTTTTTGTAATTGGTTTAAAAGTAGGTCATATTACACATATGTATAATGTGAAGATTACAGAAAAGCATACACGGAATAAGTAATTTAGTTGTTTTAATGAACCAATATTATTTTAAATCCATCTCTGAAATGAATGTTATCATTTATAATAATATCCTCTCATGGGATAGACTTACGTCCTCCATTGGATTTGCATATGAGTATAGTGAAATGAAAATAACTTTCATATTATGTTACATATAACAGTTGATCATATGACTACGTAAAACTAAATAATTTTGGATTTATTTCCATTTTATTTTTATTACATTTCATCGTCAAAAGAAAAATTTCCTTACTCACCAAAATTCAATGGCTTTATATAATTTATATAAATACATGTATATTATTCTACCTACATACAAAATTAAATTAATTTTGCTAAAACATTTTGTGTTTTCTTTTACAGCACAAAGGTCGACTTAGCGGAAATTATTTATAGTAATATGCTCGTAAATTATTTTATGGAATAATAAATTAAATTAATTGTATATTTTGTTTCTTTGTTAGTGAGGCCACTCACCGTGGAAATATTGTCACGGGAGCAACCTTTGTCGGTTGGTAGGAAGACTGAGCTACTATGCAGGTCGACTGGTGCGCGACCACCTGCGATAGTCACGTGGTGGTTGAAAGGAAAGCAGCTAAACTCAATCACTAAACACAGGGTGAGCTTAAATAAAAAAAAAATCGACATTAGTTATAATTAAGCATATTTCTTCCCATCATTGGAAGAAAGGTTCTTGAGTGGCGACCTCAAATGTATTGCAGGGAGTCAGTAGATGCAGCTAGCTCAGGACCGTTCCTTATGCCAGTCTATGGAGGAGACCTATATTTAGTTGTGGACAGATCATGGTTGAGATGATGAATCATATTTGTATTGCTTTCTTTTCTGTGGATGTCGTAAGAAATGACTAAAGTAGCTTATGATGGAAAGAGCAGCGCCCCTCTTAAAATATCCCCAAAAGATAAACTGTGGTTGCCAACTCGCCTGCTAAGCGTGACAACATTTGTCAAAACATTTGGTGTGGTGCTATAATAGAATATTGTAGATAGCTAATGACATTATTTTTCAACAGGAGTTAGACGACGGTAATGAAACCCAATCAATACTTCAATGGACTCCATTAAAAGAACATAACGGTCAAGTCCTCACTTGTAGAGCGGAGCATTCTAAGTTCAACCAATCCACGATAGAGAGTAAACTGCCGCTGAACATTTACTGTAAGTATTTTATTATACGTATTAATTTTTATTCTACACAGTTTTCCGTATGCGAAAGCTTTAAGTTACTCAGCGAGATATGAAGAGATGCTCGGAGTTTCTTTGCGTGATAGAATCCGGAACGAGGATATTCGCAAAAGAACCTTAGTTTTTGTACTTCGTTCGTGTAATTATATAATGTATAACATACGATCGTTGAAAACAGTCTATGGAGGAGGATAGCTGATGTGATAATGGTCATATATATATATATATATATATATATATATATATATACAACTTAGAATCGTCGCCTATAGACATGAGCAGTACCATTGATTTACCAGAGTATTCCGGTTTGCCCATAATACCCCCCATGCGTTGCATTCCTGAAGACTCAGGTGTTATTCCTCCTTACCCTGTAAATTTACGCCATATCCCACCCTTCAAACCGAAACACAGCCATGCAAACACAACTGCTTCACGGTAAAAACACGAATGAGACAGAGGTACCGAAGCAGACGACTTTTGTACAAAGTCTCGTTCTAGTAAATGTAATGTAATGTCTGGTAATGCATAGTAAAATTCTACCTTCATTTAGTGGACTTATAATCGTATGGTATTCTTTACCAGTCCACCATTGAGCAAACCGGGAAATAGGTAGGCAGTGTAATATTGAATAGATGAAAAATAAAGCAATACTTGATATAGTCTTATATTATAAACATATAATTAGACCAATATATATGTACTTACACATAATATATCAAGTGAGTAAATATATACATATAATAAATACATACAAAAATATATACATAAAATTTTACCGTATCAAACAATTAACTGTATTAGAAGAGCAAATAACATTCTATGATTTAAACAGTTGCCAGCAAGTTTAAGTTTAAAGGGAAAGTGATTTTTGTAAAAAATAGCTGCGCAGTACATACATATATACATACATACAAGACATATATGTCTACAGTCATCATATTTATTGGATTAAAATAATACTTGTACCAATAAATGTAACTTTATTTCAAAATACATTCAAAGAGAATAGAACAGTAAAGGATCGGTTATATTCTGTTTGAACTTCTCTGGCGTCCAATTTGTATTCCTTTATCATTCACTTCATGCATTACACTCTTGAATTTATTTGATTCCAATATATTTCTGAAACTTAATTATTTACTGTTCTCTGTCGATGTGGTTGGTAACTTGTGTTGGAAACTCATTGTTGATTATATAATATTATTCAAATTTAAATATTTTGAGGGTTATTTAAACATGAAAATAGAATATTTTACCTAAAGAACCATAGTCAATAAAGTACAAAATCTCTTGTTCATCTCGTCAGTTGGTTACACGTGTCGGTATGGGACGCTCATATTTTTAGTTTACCTACGAGAACATTCGCTTCAATGAATGGTTGAGTGTAGACAAAGATTATACTATTGTATAATATTTTTAATTAAACTAACTTTTTTACGTGTCTCCGTTTGAATGAGATTCGCTTTAATTGTACTATTTAAAATCGTTCCTTACTTACTGTTCAATTGATGCAATTAAATTAAAACTTAATAGAAACTTCATGTCATTTAAAACAATGACTTGAAGTGGTCTTAGTATAATATGTAACAGCGTCATGGTCATTTCAGCCAGTATCCGTTCACTGCTGCTCCTAGTCCTCCCCCATAGACTGCCATAAGGAAAGATCCTGATCCACTTGCATCCACTGACTCCCTACAATACATTTGAGATCGTTACTCCATCTAGTGGGGGTCGTCCTACACTGCGTTTGCCTGTACAGAGTCACCACTCAAGTCTTCCAAATCGGTTGTTGGTTCTTAGAGCTATGTGACCAGCCCATTGCCACTCCAGCTTGCTTATCCTTCGGGCTGAGTCGATTACTTTGGTGCTTTTGCGGATATCCTTGTATGTAGCATAGGTAATTCTAATTTCATTACTCTAGTAACGGCCTCAATAACTCAGTAGTAATCTTAAAGACACGCGGCAGCGGTTATATTATTCTGTTATATGAAAAACTAAGTATAAATATTTTAAATATTATTACCAATTTATCATTTATCGTAATAAAAGCAACACTATTTATCGATGCAATAATATTATACATATAATATAAATGCTCTTACGTCTATACTTTATATAGCAACCAATAAAACCCGTCGGGAACAAATAAACTATTTTGTATGTTAGTTGGATTCTTTCTGGGAGTTTATGTGTTTTTCTCTTTTATATATTTTATGTTATATATTGTTACTACATAGTGTAATGTTTAGTTCAATTTCGATAGGCTATTGATAAATAGTTACTAATATTTCTTGTGATTTAGCATAGAGAAGATGACAGATTTCAATTGTAACAGACATTCATTATTTATTACAGTAACTGTCAAAATATTTTGGATATTTATAATAGAATGTATTGATTTATGTTCTATCCCTATAATAGAATGGTTTTTTTTTATACAACTTAAAATGGCAAACAAGCTGACGGTTGACAAGATGGAAAGTGGTAACCGTCGCCTATAGACATGAGCAGTACCATGGATATAACAGAGTATACTATTTCGCCCATGATACCCCCCATGCGTTGCCATTCCTGAGGACTCAGATGTTATTCCTCTGTACCCTGTAAATTCACGCCATATCCCACCCTTCAAACTGAACACAGCCATGCAAACACAACTGCTTCACGGTAGAAACACGAATGGGACAGAGGTACCCAAACAATCGACTTTTGTACTAAGTCTCCCTCTGGTAAATATCTGGTAATATATGTAGGAAAACTATATTATTGGAAACTAAACTAACTATTTAAATATTATAATTTAAATATATTTACATTCAATTCCCTTGTGGTCCCGGCACAGAATAGACCACCTCTTCCTTTCTCGTCGGTGTCGTAAGAAGCGAGGGAGGGCAAGGATTGGGCAGCAGCGTCTTTCTTAAATTATCTCCAAAGCCTAACTGCAGTTGCCAAACCACTTATCAAGCTTGGCAACTATTGGCTAAACCACCCCTTAGGGGAGAGGCTATGTTCAGCAGTGGACATTTAATGGCTGATATGACATATGAAATGTATATAAATATACAAACACAAATATTACATACCCAAGTTTATGAGGACAAAAGTTTCTCTTTTAATCAGCTCTTGAAGATATTCTGCGATTGTTTATAGAGGAATAACACCTGAGTCCTCAGGAATGGCAACGCATGGGGTGAAACAATATTCACTGTTATGTTCATGGTACTGCTCATGTCTATAGGCGACGGTTACCACTCTCCATCAGGTGGACCGTCAGCTTGTTTGCTATTCTAAGTAGTATAAAAAAATATTGTCTTTCACATATTTGTATTGGGAGATTTTTTTTAGAATAATAAAACGTCATTTCACGATAGACCTATTTCAACAGATGTACCGGTGGCAGTAATACATTTAGGTGCTAAAATGAACCCTAACGACATAGAGGAAGGCGATGACGTATACTTCGGATGCGACGTTGATGCTAATCCCCCCGCCTACAAAGTCATATGGGAACACAATGTAAGTAATTTCTTATCTACTTAAAATTCATATTTTATGGTTACACAAACTTACCTTAAATGAATTTTAACTTAACGCACAGAGATATCTTTGAATATGTAGTACATAGTATATATTTTATTAGAAGAAAGTCTTCAGCGTTTTAATAATTATTTAAATTTAATTTGCAATTTTATTTTATTTCAATTATACTCTTGTAATATTTGGATATTTTTATATGTAAATACCCTAAGTACCTAACATTAAGACAGGTCTAGATTTACCTTGTTTGTTGTGTAATTATATGGGTATTATAAGTTATTTTAACTCATTGTAGTAATTATAAATGTTCAAGTATAAATAAATAAACATTTATTTGTATTATTTAAGATTTCTTTCCATAGATACATTAAATGAAATGAAATGAGTTTATTTGCATTAAACAGTTTACAAGCCACGTGGTATTATTTTGGCACCTGTTTAATTGCCTTAAAAGATGTAGGCATGCAAATATTTTACATTTTATATAAAAAAAAAAACCGGTAATCAAAATTATAATTTAAATACATTATTTAAATTGACTTTACATATTAAAAGTCTAGATTATAGTACATTATATATACATAAATTTACTAAAAATTCTCTTTACACGTTACAAGAGCATAATTCCTTTTTTTAACGCAGAAGAATCATTGTTATGAGTTTGTTCATAATAAGATAAGAATGTACATTCTATGTAAAGGGGAAAGGGATTGTTAATAATGAAGTCTAACAGTCCCATTGCTAGCAATATAGAAATATAGAGACCCGTTTTGAAGTCGACCTGTTAAGGTTAACAGATCAACTTTAACACGGTTTTCCTTAAACTCATCTTTATTAATGATCGTTAATTGATGAATACGTCATGATAGGCCATAACTGACCTGCTTCATCCTCACCTACTATCCCTCGCTGGTGCTTCACCTCCGGTATACCAGTAGCACAAGTGGGTTTAATATTCTATTTTCATCCATAAAAATACAACCTGTATAAGAGTCAAACTGAGAACATATTACTATACTGTTCACGATTTTTGAATCTTTTCGAATGTAACATCTCGTATAATTAATACATTATTTTTTAATAGCACTAATTTTACTTATTATTTAATGAACACTTAATTTTAAACAGCATTTAATAAAAATATAATTGGTCCATTAAATATAAAGTGTGCTCTAAAACACTTTTAATTACTAATCACTTTGGAAAGTTAAGTACCTATTTATTAATTCTTAAACCACAGGCTTCGTTATTTTAAAAATAAAAAAAAAACCTTTTTTAAATAAAACCCATCTTAGGCTTTAAAAATATAATCGTCACAAGTAAAAAAAAATATTAAATAACTATCGCTATACCCTGGCTTTGCATGGGTAGATAGATAGAAAGATAATTTAGTATTTTATATTTCTTTTTTATATTTTTTGATACCTTGGGTTTCACGATTGTAATTTTCGTAAGGATTTCTAATTTATTTGAAAACAATATATGGCTTGTTACTTCCTGACAATGCAGCTTTCTATAGGTGAAAGAATTTTTAAAATCAGTTTAGTAGTTTTTGAATTTATCCATTAAAAATAAGCAAATAAACAAACATACAAATAATGAAATCTATATTAATAATCTATGTTTATATTTATTTATATTATATCTATATTAATATCTAATTTATAATATTAGTATAAATTTACTTATAGATTGATAAAATAATTTGTATAAAAATTATTTGTAATGTAATGAATATATTATTACATTACAAATAATTTTTTACAAATATAAAAGTAACACGACAACAAGTAATAAATAATGTTACAAACCCATCAAATATGTGAATACTTCTAAAAATTCGATGATCTAAATACTATGAATTCTTAATCGTTCGATGCTTTTTATGGTCATTTTATTAGTCCATAAATGTTTTGTGTGGAACCATAAAACTAGAATGTCAATGGTCTCAGTATATTCAGAGAGCACCGCAGTTTTTCAAATACAACCGGCTTTTGGCGAATGAAATAAAAGATATGTATTTTCAAACGACCTCAAAAAGGCTTCATTTTGATTGAATGAGGTCGACTGTCAACCAACTTAAAAAGTCCTTGTTTTCAAGTTTTTCTTTATGTTTAAACTGGTTAGAAAAAAAAAATATTATAATGTTATTTATTGAATAACTATTTATGTAGTTTTATAAAAAATATTTACCGATATTTTCCATTATAATGTAATATACTAAAAATAATAAAAAGATGTCGTTTCGCGGAACCTTTTATCGAAAATCTGATAAGGTATCTGAATGTAGAATGAATGTTAGCAAACTTCTGCTTTCATTTCCATATCTATATAAATAAATACCAATACATATATTTAAATATATATTTAAGTATGTTGTATGTAAGTACCTCACTCGAGAACAGTACTAACTTACTCGTATTTGACAATTTTTGTTGTGTTTGTTATTCATATATATAATATAATAAATAAGTCCATATCACTGATTATTTAATTAAATATAATAATTCTATTTAAATAGCCAATAATTTTATTGTCGATCAAGGTATCTATGAAAGAAAACATTAAAAAAATCGTATGAAGAGGTGAAAAGTTTTTTTGATTTCGTCTTATTTTCTTAATTCGTACACCCGTATAAAGTTAGGACAGGCAACGAGTAATATTATATACATATATAATATCACGATACGATTTCTATATTTAGTTCTAATCAGAGTGATTATTGTTCTAAGAGAACCCCTGAAGCTTTCGCTCGAAATTTGCATGAACTCACTGCTAATTATGTCAATTATATCTATTATGTCTGGGTAAAGCCTAACTGTGGTTGCCAACCCGCCTGCGAAGCGTGACAACTACTGTCAAAACCCTCCTTTATGGGGGAGGCCTATGTTCAGCAATGGACAGTTAACGACTGACGTAATGATATGATGATGTCTGGGTACAACATGAAATACGAGTACATCGTAGTAGATGTGTATTTAACCCTTCTTTGCATGATTTTTTTATATTGGTAAAATAAATCAAGGTAATAATATAATTCGTGTTCAAAATTAAAGGAAAAATATTTAAAAAAATAAATGTGACAGCTGTTTTTTTTTCTGCAATGGACATTAAAAAGATATCCAAACACGACGATCAACTTAAAGTAAACTTGTTCTTTTATATAATTTTTGGGCATTCAATGTTGTGATGGAAGTTTCAAAGAAGGGTTAAATCCTTTGATATGTATTTTGTATTTAAAACCGATGGCTTTCGAATAAAAATTGTTCTTAATTTCTATTTGTAATTGTGTGAGAGTTTGGTCCTAGAATGTCAGAAGTTTTATTATGCCTTTCTTATACATGACGTGGCTTACTGAACGACGGTTTTTACATATATATATATATATATATATATATATATATATATATATATATATATATATATATATATATATATATATATAACAGAGAGAGTAAATAATTTTTGATATATCACAAGCGTACAGTCCACCTAATGGTAAGCAGTTACCGTATGAATACCTGTAATACCAGAGGCGCGTATTACTTGTGTTTTGCCGACCCTGAAGTAACCCCTTTTTTTGAAGAATCCCATGCTGTAGTCGCTACCCAAGATCTGAGCTCATTCCATAACCTGAACGTGCGTGGGAGAAAACATCTCTGAAACCGAGCTGTACGCTACCATCTAGGCTTCAAGATATAAGGTCTTAGGTATATTTTATAGGCAGGGGTTAATCTTGAGACATTTGAATCACAGTCAAGTATTGTTAAATTGAGTTCTTCTTTATTGCTTTTGTTTATTTTTACCAGGGTGTTCTGCTACAGCACAATCCAGCAGGTGGAGTGATCCTGACTGGAAATACGAATCTTGCACTCCGAAACGTTTCAAGACACCAAGCGGGGAAATACTCGTGCACGGCTTCCAACGTCGAAGGCGATGGGAAGTCACCGCCATTGCATATGCAAGTTGTTTGTAAGTACATTTATTGCTTCATGTAGAACAATAAAAAATATACTCACGACTTTAATTCTTTGTGCATAGGTAAATAGGTAGATACTCTTTATTGTTTCCTCTAACCTTTAAATGGAGAAGAGAGTGATTATAAACAGTTTGATCGGAGGCACGATAAAATTCTGCATACATTTATTTATATATATATATATAAAGTGTTGTGTGTTAAATTAGGATATAACCTACTCGTATACCAAATTTTATTCAAATCTGGTCAGTAGTTTAGGTGTGAAAAAGAAACAAACATCCATCCATCCATTGTTACAAATTGCATTTATTACATTCAATAGGATTGCTAACAACGTGGTGATTACTAAAAATTCTTATAATTTAGAACCAATCGTCGACTTGTTAATGTTATTACTGACAGACCAATATTTCACAAAGTATTTTTGTATTTAATGCGACAGAAACAACCCAACCGCCAACTAACAGATTAATTTGGATTATTAACGTGTTGTCCATTATCCAGATAATCAATTTTTAATTCGACTTGCAAACTAGTGTTGTCCTAATTAGAAACTCAGGAACTATGAAGTTTGAGCCATTAAGATCCAATACAACTTTATAATTTGAACGGTACCTATCTTTATAACTTTACGCGACGTTTATTAAGAGTATTATGCACTAATGAACACTATTCTTACATACGAGTACATCCAGGGTCGTAGCTAGATTTATGTTTAAGATAAGGCAAAAGAAATTTCTGGTAGGGCAGAAGCCATTATTATATGACTTCGAAAAAGCGAATATGTCTAATTTTCTTTTGGCCTTTCATATATTAGGTAGGGTATTTTAAGGTAGGGCACTGCCCCTCAATGCTTCCTCTTTATCCTAGCTACGGCTATGAGCACATCTCTTATTTCATCAACATTCATAATTCATCACATGCATGCGCTCCAATTCCGGTCACGCAGTATATGTATTAGATCATCATAGATTCTGTTTCGTTGTCTTCAGCTGTAACGAAATTTATTGAATGCAATTTATTATTATTTTAATGTTAAACCTACCTCTACACAAGGTAATAAATAAATAAATATATCGAAGTACAATAATTTCTACTTATTTAATACTTTCACATTTCGGGTTCTCAAGGTTGACTGGAAGAAATCCTTTTAAGGGATAAGTCCGTCTGTGTACATTTTTTGTTATAATAGTACAGTCAATGAAGGTTTTCGTTAAATCTCCATCGATTTTCATGAAAATTGGCGAGTAGGTGGGGGATATCTTAAGAAACAAAAGTGACATAGTGCCAACTTGTTCTATTGCCCAGGGGGTGGATGCTACCCCTTCTCAGGGGTGAAAATTTATTTAATAAAAATAATTATAACCTAATATCTATACTGTAAGTGAAGCCCCAAAAGTATGTAAATAAATAATAATAAATTAAAAAATAATAATTTAATAATACCAAAATTTTGTATAGTCTCAGCATAGAATGGACCACCCCTTACTTTTATCGTGGGTGTCATAAGAGGTGACTAAGGAAGTTAAATGTTCAAGGGGTAGACAGTAGCGTCCCTCTTAAAACATCACCAAAGAATAACTTCGGCTGCCAATCCGTCTGCCAAACATGGCAACTACTGGCAAAGCTCTTTTTATGGGGGAGGCGTATGTTCAACAGTGGATAGTCAACGACTACTACGATGATGAATATGTAAATGGCTAGTATTAATATTTTTATTTTTAAATTACAAATTCAACAGAGACCGACTTATCTGATAAATGTAGATGGAAATAAATGTAAATAAAAATAAATTTTCAATTGGTTAAATAAAAAAAGAGCTTCACTTCTTTTAAATGTGTATAAAATAGATGGCTGTATAAAAATAGATGTAAGATAAAATGGCATAAAAACTTCTCGCAAAGTTCGAGGGAAAAGGTGGCAAAAATACAGTGTAAGGAAGTTTGTTATTCATTGTACACCATGGATGAATATCGTCGATAAGAAATTCGCAAAAAAGAAACTCCACTGAAAATAAACCGCTGTTCTGAGGGCGATGATTTTTTTTTTATAATTATTTTATGTTTGCCCACGATTTCTAACAACATTATAATTTAATATTAACTCGCAACTTCGCTCGCGTAATCTGAATACGTAGATAGACCGCAATATAGAATAATAATCTGTCATTCTACGTCTCAAATAATTTATTCAATATATTTTTTCTTTTATGGCTTGCGTTACAGTAATTAAGGCATCTTGTCCTTGCTATTGGATACGGTTGACGGAATACTTATAGAAGAGGGTACATGGTGTATTCACTACTAATTTAGGCGCAATATTTGGGATCAAGAGGAATAATTTATTTATTTAAATTTTAATGCACATATACATTTGGCAATCTTAACACTGGACGGTGTTCTCTACCAGTCAATCATTGGGTAAAACTAAGAAATAAGTGGGCGGTGCATTATTGAATTAAGAAAATAAAATAACACTATATAAAACATATAATTAGACTGATATAAATATACACATAATATGTTAAATAAAGAAATAATATGTGTATTCCAAATTTTACGACGATTGGTCGAATCGTTAAAGTACCAAGAGGTAAAGAACAACAAAGTCACTTTTATATTTATAATACTAGCTATATCTATATAATATATGTATGTATTTGGATGTATGTGTTTATTTATGTATGTGTATATGACTATGCTGTCACAGATATTATTTTTTTACAGATCTATTTCTTTTAACGCGCCACCTACATACTTATGCTTTAATTCTTTTTACCCAAACGTTGCCTGAAAGAGATTGCTTAGCAATAAGACCTCCTTTTGTATTACACTATACGTATTGAAAATTGTTCAACAAATCCTGTTATGTAGGTGGAATAAAGTGTCAAATAAATAAATATATTACCCCACGGCTTTATTCGCATCAATCTTTATTATATCTTATGTTATTATAGTACCTCTCCAACTAGTGAAGGTTGGCTATAGGCTCACGGAATCTGTCCTTGTCTCATGTGAGATGGAATAATTCGGCTACACTGATAATGCTTGCCTACTAGGATGGATAATATATAGCAATATCTATATATTGTAGTTACAATATCTATTTATTTTGGGAGACTTTGTACAAAAGTCGATTGCTTGAGTAACTCTGTCCCATTCGTGTTTCAACCGTGAAGCAGTTGTGTTTGCATGGCTGTGTTTCGGTTTGAAGGGTGGAATATGGCGTGAATTTACTGGGTACAGGGGAATAACACCTGAGTCCTCAGGAATGGCAACGCATGAGGGTATCATGGGCGAAACAGTATACTCTGTTATGTCCATGGTACTGCTCATGTCTATAGGCGACGGTTACCACTTTCCATCAGGTGGGCCGTCAGCTTGCTTGCCATTCTAAGTTGCATAAAAAAAATTATTAAACTGATAACAATTATATTAAATCTCTTGGTCATCCTATATATAATATTGAAATGACAAATCCAACTGGTGTGGGCGATATCGAAATAAGTGATGACCTTTTGACCGCCATCAATATCCACCGAAACCTAATAAACAGATACTGGAGCGGTGCCGATATTACTCATCCCTACCATCCACTCCTTGATTTTACGTACCCAAAACTTTTTTTTTTGCTACCGACCTCTTTCTTGCCAGCAACTATGCACAGCATCTTATTCATATACTCAATTTTATTTGAATCCAATTAATTTTTTTTTTTCGTAAAAGAGTCATCATATCATATCAGCCTTTAACTGTCCACTGCTTATGTTCAGCAGCTTAGTGGGTTTTGGCAGTAGTTGCTACATTTGGCAAGCGGGTTAGCAACCGCAGTTAGGCTTTAGAGACGTTTTAAGAGGGACGCTGCTGCCTATCCCTCGCCCAATGTTACGTAAAAGAGTAAAATATATCTATACAGAGGGGGAAGGGATTGTTAGCAATGCAAATTACTAGTTCCATTGCTAGCAATATGTACCCTGTCAGTTTGACCTTCATGTGCTCCCCCCTGAAAACCGTCATGCTAAATTTCAGATGTATTCATCACGAATCCTAATGTAAATTATCTCCACGTAATTCGATAAGAACTCATAAAAAAAAAAACAATTTTACCTTTTTTAATAATAAAAATTGTCCACAGATAAACCGATATGTCGGAAAAGAGAAATACGAATGATCGGCGCCGCGCTACAGGAGCCATCCAGTGTGGTGTGTGAAGTTGACGCTTTCCCACCACCTGATACATTTGAATGGACCCTCAATAACTCAGCTGGCTCTATAAAAGTTGATCCCGTAAGTGTTATTATGAATAAATAAAAGATTTCTTTTTTTAATACGATGGATGTTTATGATTGTTTTATAATGTAAGTCTATATTTTACTGTAATACTATATTTTTAATATTTTCATATGCATACTTTATTTTAGTCTACTTATTGCGTTTTGTTTATTCGAAAATAATAATCTTAATATAAATAAATTAATAAAACAAAACAAAAATATGATAACACCCAATTTTCGTATGTTTTTGTTTTACTTTTGATAAAATATTATTTATTTATTATAGTCATTTATATTTAACTATTAAAGCATTTATATTTAAATATTACAATTAATAGCAATAATGATCTTGAATAATAACTATCGTGAGTCATACTATATTGTAAATCGGTATCCTCTTTGTTTCCTCCAAAAGATTACAGTAATAAAATTGTAACTATTTATGTCAGTTTTAAAATCCTCGAATTTAAAACATGAGTTTCTGAAATTCTGGACTAACTCACAATATTATCACTTGTTTTGAAATAGCAACAAAATTATAGTATATGCTCATAATATTTATTTATTATATATGTTATAATGCAATACGCTGTTAGTGTTCCTATGAATAAATTATAAGAAGGCTCAGGTCTTATTAACAATCTATTTTCAGCTACGTTTCACGGTAGAAGCCTACGAGGGGCGGTCCATACTTTCTTACACTCCAGTTTCTGACGTCGACTACGGAACTCTGTCCTGTCGAGCGACTAATTTGGCCGGACAACAAACGTCACCTTGTGTATACACTTTGATGCCAGCTACCAGACCCGACCCGCCGACAAACTGTACAGTGTACAATCTTACCGATGACTCGTTAGATCTTATGTGTCTTGCTGGTAAGTGAATACATTTTATAGCTGTACTTACTTTACTATGTCTAGGTGATTGGGATAAAAAGTAGCCTATATTTTTATTTTACGTCACGAACGTGGCAAACAAGCATACAGCCCGTCTGATGGTAAACGGTCACTGAAACACTAGGAGTGTCACGTGCGTGTTGTCGACCTTAAAGAAATTTTAATATATCCTTTTTGAAGAACCCCATACTGTAGTAGTAGTAGGGAAAACTTCGGCTGGAAGCAAACTCATCTGAAACTGCACTGTAAAAGATCATTCAGATTCTAGCATGCGAGGATATATTCCCTGTCGATGGTGATGTTCTTTCTCATCTCAAATAATATAAATATATGTATTAATAACATAATGTTAAATACACGAATATTTTGCCTCTTACATTTTATAATTTAGAGAAAGAATGATAAAATTATACCGTATTACGATAAATTATTTAAACCCGTAATATTCATTTACTTTACTGAGGTAATTAAATATGCACTAGACTCAAATGCTTGAAAGATTTTCCAATTTAGACGAGCGATTAATATTTCAATTTTCTATAATTATATAATATTAATACCGCCAAATTACTATATAATAATTAACCGCTTTAACCCTCGCCCTGCGAAGTGCGATCTCTTAAAAGACCCGTTAATCTCTAAATCCACTAAAACTTTAATTGCTAAAGGGTTATAACCTGGTGAATGAATTAACCTCACAATATTACGTCTCACAGATACGGTGAAAGTAATCGATATTCTAATACTGTGGACTAATCAAACGGTTTTGAAGAGCTATTACCTAAAAATCATTTAATTAACGGCAAACAAGGCGAGATAACAATTAACTTTATCCTATTTAAACGGTTTTTCCTCTTTGTTAAAAAATAAAAGTAGAAATAATTAAGGAAATTACGTAAAATTCTGTTGTCACATTTTTACGTGGTTTAAGTAGGTAGATTGCAAATTACATATTTTACTTTCTTCTTATAAAATTAATTCTTTGTATTTGTAACAAATAAACACAATTTTTCTTAAATAAATAAGCTGTTCTTTTAAACTAGTTGCCTGGTTCTATGCACATGTACATTTGTTACCTTTCCGTCCAATTTTTTAATATTATCGCACCGGTCGCCATCGACAGGGATTTCATCCACATACGCATAAACCTAAATGATTACGTACAGCGTGCTTTTAGAGAAAATTTTTCCCACGAACGCTTAGGCTGTGGGATGAGCTCCCTGCCGAGGTTTTCCCTAGAGACTACAGCGTGGGGTTCTTCCAAAAGAGTATATTAGAATTTCTCAGTAGTCTGCAACGTGCACGTGACACTCCTAGTGTTACTGGCGTTCATAGGCTACAGTGATTGTTTACCATCAGATGGACTGTATGCTTGTTGGACGCCTTTATGACATAAAAAAAAATATTTTATTTCATACAAACCTTGTCCTGATAATTACAAAAACGTAAAAGAACCAAATAGATGCAGCGATTTTGAAGTGATGCGATTACATAAATTCGGCAATTGATATTTATACCTACAGATTTTGTTGTTATATATATATATATATATATATATATATATATTATATATATATATATAAAATTGTAAAAGCAATAATTTTATATTAACATACTATTTTTCCCGTGAATTTCGTAAGAGGCGACTAAGGAAGGGTGAGGGACGGGCTTAAAATATTTCCAAAGCCTAACTGCGTTTGCCAATCCACCTACCGAGCGTGGCAATTACTAGCAAAACATCCCAGGAGCAGGCTAATGTTCAGCAATGGCCAGTTAAAAGCTGATGTAATAGTGAATAATTTAGTAGTGTTAACTCCGCCAAATGTACAATTACGCTGTGCGTTAAAGTTTAAATAAATAAATTACTCTGAGAATAACATAAAATAGAGTGTCTCATTACTGTGATTGATCTGTAGTCGTAGCATTTAAAATAACAATCTGTTTTAGATACAAGACCTTTTAACCTTTATAATATATGTAGATATAATAGACAAGCTATGTCTTATGGCTTTGCCTGTGATCGTATCGTGACGTTTAATAACTTTCCTTCCTTTATTCGATTTCAATAGGTGATATTAGGTTCTCATTTAATAAGTAGACAGCTTCATATTCAGTAAATATTAAGCATTAATTTTTTTTAAAGTCACTAATAATTTTTTTACAATAAATAAATACGAGTACAAGAATTACAATAATCAAATAATAATTAAATATTTTATAATTAGAAATATATACATTATAAGAACAATAAACATAGCCTATGATTTCATAACAAAAAATCATTCATAGTATAGACACACTTCCTAATGGTCATTTTAAAATAGGTGAGAAGTAATTCTATTATATTTTTGGAAATTTGTTATACACTTTTGTCAATATGAAACAACAGTTCTTTTTATATTTATATATCTTATTATTCTTTTGACTATTACTGAATAAAAATATATTCTTTTAGGTTACGAAGGTGGTCTTCAGTCTGTCTACATAGCTGAAGTCTGGGGCAATGAAGGCTTAGTGGTAAATTCGAGTAATGCTGTAGCATCATGGAATCTCCGGAGGCTTGGAGCGAAGAGACAATTAAAATTGGTAATCTACGCTGCAAATGCTAGAGGAAGGTCGGAACACGTAACATTTACAGTGGAAACTGCGCCCAGATTATCACCAAGAACAGGTGAGATGAGTAAATATTTTTATAATTTACTTAGTTTGATTGTAGATATTGATTTGTTCCCCCTTCCTTTCCCGTGGGTATCGTAAAAGGCGGCTAAGGGAACTTACTAACCAAGGGATGGACAACAGCGTTCCTCTAAAACATCACCAAAGGCTAACTATGGTTGCCAACCCGCTTGCCAAGCGTGGCAACTTTTGGCAAAACCTATTTTATAGGGGAGGTTTATGTTCAGCAGTGGACAGTTAAACGCTGATATGATGATAATGATGAAGGGAGCTTGACAGTTTCCCAATTCGCCCCCTTGGTAGTCTCAATATATGTAAATATAATAACATTTATTTATTGGACATTAACATTTATTTCTAAATAACTTATTGTCATTCTGCGAAATTCGACAAGTTTACAAGTTTTTTTTGTGCAACATAAAAAGGTAAACAAGCTGACTGCCCACATGATGAAATGTAGTAACCGTCGCCTATAGACATGAGCAGTATCATGAACGCAATAGATTTTTTTATACCACTAAAGTGGCATCCGAGTCTGGGCACTGGCTAAATGAAGTGAAGACTATTTTGCTAGCCCTATTCTTCTCAACGGAACATGGAAAAAGTCTCTTGGACGTGCTCGAGCATAATTAGAAGATGCTCGAATAGATATCGATGCCAGGATGCTCTAATCATATTTGTACCCTTTAAACACTTTTAAAATATACTCGATTAAACTTACGTCTCACTTCAAGTGAGTTATATTCTACCATGCCCAATAAGAACTTACTCCAGGGGGGAAAGGAAATTAGTAATGGGGACTAATAATCCCATTGCTAGCAATATACCCAACCAGATCGACCTCCTAGTGGTTCCCCCTGGAAATTATCATGGTTAATTCCTGATGAATTCATCATGATGGGCTTACTGGCCTGTTTTCATTCTAATCTATCACCCTTCACTGGTGCCCCGCCAGCTTATCCCGTTAGCACAGGCGGGGTTACCATTCCATTTTCATCCAATAAAAAAAAAAGAACTTACTAGGATATAAATATATATTTATATCTGCCAATATATACTTATAATGAGCATTATACAAATGCGTTCAAAAAAGCTAACAACTCTAGACTACAGACACCTGAAGCACTTTGAAGCATTCTAAACACGAAACCCTTCAATTTATGTTAATAATAATAGTAATCTTTATTTTACGAGTACTACTCAAAAAGAAATATTGTACAGTATATAACTATTTAGGTTTTAATTTGAAATAATCTTTGTGAAAGTCTGGAGTCTGAACTAGGTTGAAACCTGTACTACAGAGGGCCTACCATGAAGTGTTTTCCGAAATTTCGGAGCCGAACGAAACACAAATTTGATGTTAAAATTACATAATACATGCCGTTTGGAAATATTAAAAATGTTAAAATATTGTTCCTTTGGACTTTTATGATAGGATGTACGACGAACGAAATGTTAAATTCTATTTATTGATCCGATTTTGGTATAAACAAAAACACGAAATTGAGTCCGAAATTTCGGAATTTCATTTCATAGTAGACCCGCAGATATCCAGGCTCTCTCCGAAGTTACTAAACATCTATATTATTATAATTATCAATACAAATATTGTGAGGTAAGTATTCTTGGTATTTCTATCTTAGAGATGCATGTATGAAGAATATATTTTTGAATGTAGTGTGTACCTATATCTGGGTACACTAGGCTGTGTACGTCATTAATATTTGTACGACTACTAAGCAAAAACACAGCAATAATAGTAAAAATATATATGATATTTCCTATGAGTCATCAATCCCCAACTATTAAGTCTATACTCATATTGCGACATGATTCTCATGTGTAAACGATGCGTCATCAAACAATTAATCGATCGAAGCTCGGAACACCAACATTAACCGTTCGTTGCCTAGATTGATAGACCTAAATACATGAAACCTAATTTAATCAAATATTTTTATGGACGATTTAAATACAGCCTAATATACAAAGGTCAACGTAGACTAGTTGTTGTGTATACATAAAATTTTGTTCAACCAAAGTAGAAATGGTATTGAAGAAAAATATATCTAATGAAATTGCCAATAAAAAGCGTTCGCAAATAAGTACGAGCACAATAATATACTTAATTTACAAGATTATAGACGAAAAAAAGTGAAATTGTTCTTTTGAAATGAAAGATACCATCTTATTTCTTCAGCGAGAAAAATACTTACTGCACAAACAAAGAAATATGATATTTATACACATAATTCTTCTCAGAATTCGTATAAAACCTTTAACAAAGTGTGAAGTATTTTCATAAAGACTGTACATATACATTTTATATTTAATTCAGCATTGTATTTAATTTTAATGCATTAATATATCATAATAAGTGATAACCATACAATACAGTTATTTATAAGTAGGTAGGTATTATATGTATTTATAGTGTATGTATTTATGTAATATTTTATTATATATTTTAATATTTTATTTAACTGTAGATTTGTTTATGTATTAATAGATACGCACATAAGTACAAATGTTTATATTATACTGGAATTAAACCTGCGACCATCCGTAGGCGTCGTCTATTAAACAAACCACTACATCACAAAGATCGTGAAATGTTACAGCTGATTTTGTATCAGACTTCTTATAACGAAAATTAAAATACCCCTATAAAATGAAATATATAGAACATTCTATAGTATTCATTCATCTTCTCAAAGGTTAACTGTAATCTATCTCTCTATGGGATAAATGTACCATTGTATATTATATTTTTGATGTGCCCAATGTAAATGATGTACAATAAAGATTTTATAATACAAAAAAATACAATAAATAAGTATGAAAAATATAATGTTATTATTTTCTGGTTAAAACAATTTATATTAAGCATCAAATAAAGTATATTGACATTAGTGAAAAGTCTTTCTTATAAATTAAAGATAATACTCGTATAATAACGGATAGTCGACAAAAATTCAAGCAATTTCAAATTCAATATTTAAATTTAATTACAAAGTGCTGATCAATCAGAGTTGTTTACTTTGAACAATTGCTTATAAGCACTTTTACTGATTGTGAAATGAACGTTCTGTTAAACTTTTCTTAGAGAATACAGCACATTACTAAGTCTTCATCATCATCATCATCATACCAGTCATTATCTATCTACAACAAAAGATAGGCCTTCCCTTGGAGGGTTTGAAACAAATTCTAAAACTTATATTTAAAGTATTATTCCACTAAAAGGTTCAACCTGGTCACAATGTTCAATTGTTAATTCTCAAAGGGAGTATACCTTAATAAATACAAACAGAACAAAACAGCCTTAACATACCCCATAAAACCAAAAAGTTGGAAGAGTTCAGAGAGAACGAATAGCGAAAGTACCATCCCACGGGACTTCCACATATTGTGCGGAAAACTTTTAACATTGTCTTTGAAGACGATTTAGTCAGGGCAAGTTCGATTAGAAACCTCTTAACTAGGTGTACTGTCACCTTATTACGGGAATATAGTCTATAAATAGTTTCTCTTAAAACTTAAAGTTCGGTGACCTTGGTGTTGCAAGATAGTCTAAAGAGTTCTCGGTTTGACATATTGCCTCAAGAGAGTTATGAGTTCAATGCCCGTATAATACAAATATTTTAATATTTGTATTAAATAATTAACTATTAATAATCTATCAATTATTAATTTACCATACACAAAAACCTAAGTAAGTAAAGTACACACTACTTATTTTAGACTAAATAGTGGTCTAATGATATTGAAAAAAGTTTCTGATTTATTACGTTTTATTACAAGAACAACCTATAATTTTGATTTTATATCAGTAATTAACTCGTTGAAAGATTTGAAATATCAAACAGAAAAAAGGGCAAAAGGTCTACATCTTTTTAATGTCTCCCCTGAACTTGATAAAGATCCTTCTATTTATTTTTAGAAATACGTACAATATAAAGAAATAAAAATATATATTTAGCTCGTTTAATTCAACTCTTCGAAAAGTAGATTAAAGGGGTACTAGTACCTTTTTAATATGAGATCACAGTACATCAATCATACATAATACACAATACAGAATTATTAATATAATTTTTTATAAATATACAAATAAAATCTGCTTAAATAAAATATAGTAAAAGCATCAAATAAAATAAATGGAGAAATGAATTCTCCGTGACACTGATTCAACTTGAACTTCGAACATGGCTGTAAAACTCAATCGGTTTGGAACTTCGATTAACGACATTGAGTTGCTATCAGTTTCTAGCAACGCTCTTTAAGAATATTACATATTAGTAGGTACCAGAAACTGATCTAATATTTAAAGTCATTCTAGAAATATCTAGTTATTTAAAACGTAACTAAACAAATATACACATTACTATAATTCCTATTGGTATAGTCTTTTTTTTTTACAACACAGGGGGCAAACGAGCATGCGGCTCACCTGATGGTAAGTGACTACCGCCACCCATGGTCACCCACAACACCTACGGCATTGCAGGTGTGCTGCCGGCCTTTTAAAAAGGAATATGCTCTTTTCTTGAAGGTTATGTTGTCGTTTCGGTTCGGAAATACTGCAATAATACTGCAATAATAGTCGTAGGGATTTATTAAATACTGCCGTTGTGGTAAACATAACACTTGGCCCTTATACCCACATTTTGCCGATCATATCAGAAATCATGACCGTGTGGTCCCACCAAAGAATGGGCCACCCTTTTCCCGTAGCGTTCCTTTTTAAACATCATCAGAACCTAACTGCGTTTACCAATCTGTCTGCAAAGCTTAGCAACTACTGGTAAAAGCCTCCAAAAAGGGGGAGACCTGTATACAGTAGTAGAGAGTTAACGTCTGATGTGATTATGATGATTAGAATTCAGTGTGGTAAACGAGCTTACCATTTTTTTTTGGCTACGGTAACTGCTTACCATCAGGTGGGCCGTATACTTGTTTGCCACCTCAATGGTATAAAAAAAATCATCACTTGAATTAATAAGATTTGTTATAGATAAAAAAAGAGGTATAAATTATTTCAAAATTCTTTATAATAATACCCTCAAAGCTAAATGATTATATACAGTGTGGTTTTAGAGGAATTTTTTTCTGCAAATATACAAGTTACAGAATAAATTCTGCCGATGTTTTCCCTAGAGCTTATACTCTAGTTTTATGAAAAGAGCTTAATGAGATTTCTTCAGAGTTGACAACACACACGTGATATCCCAGCCCCACTGGATAAGTAGCAATTTTGTCTATCAGTAGATATGTTTTCTTTAGCCTATGCAAGAAGAAAAATAAGACAACAGATGTAGCTAGCATGTTTCATATCACGCATACGGTAGCAATACCTTATTTGTATAGATTCATTTGTTAGGAGAAGCTGGTATTCCAGAAATACGTTGGTCGCTGTAATTGTTTATCATCTTATGAATTGTATAGACATTTTCTACCGTTATAATATATTGTTTAAAATTCAAAATTCGAATCGTCTTTATTCAAATATATATGTTTATGAGCTCTTTGAAATTGTCATCTCTTATAATTCTACTACTGTATTCGTAATGTTGCTATCTGTTGAGAAGATACCGTAAGTAACTTAAGTTACTTTTTAAAATAAATTTATAATGTTAATAGAGCGGGGGGAAAGGGATGTTGGCAATGGGATTTGACAGCCCCGTTGTCTGCAATGTAGGGCACATTGCATTAGGTCGACCTCCGCGTGGTTTCCCCTGGAAACCATCGTAAATAATTCTTGTTGAATTCGTCACAATGGGTTAACTGACCTGCTTCATCCTCACCTATCATCCTTCACTGGTGCCGCGATGGTGTATACTGATAACGCAGGTAGGGTTACCATTCCATTGTCCCCCATTAAAAAAAATGTTAATAGAGCATTATGTGTATATGTTTAAATGTATCTCTAAAATAACAAAGTTATTTAAAACCTTAAAATTGCACGATTAACTAACACTATGCACGTTTATTATTCAAGTAACCATTTAGTGAAATACATAATGATTATAAGGTTCTGAATCCTTTAATGGAAAAGATTCAATCTCATTTCACGAAGATGCTCCATTTAAAAAGTTCCTCTGCCCATGAAAATTCAGTCGGAACACTTTCCCGTCTTGAATACATAATTAATTCGTCAATATTCAAAGTGTCTCGTAAAGTATATTAAATTATTGTTATATTGTACACAGAAGCTCAAGAGGCCTGGGAAGTGAATTGGGCGATAGGTGGCGTTTTAGGCGCCGCATTGACGGTCGCCATCATTTTATGTCTCGCCCTTATCGCCACAAGAATACGGCACAGATCAAGGGACTACGAAGGTTGGTATTCTAACACGTTTCCTTTGTATTTCTTACAGATAAGTAGATACTGACTTCAAACGTCAAAGTTAATATTGAGTAGTAATCTTACTATTATGATTTTGAAGAAAACCCACAAATGAACGTTGAGGTTTATCATAGATATATTAAATTTAATACGTAATATCATGTGTCTACATGTAGATTATACTTTTATAGTATTTGTATTAATGTAGATACATTGTGCTAATATGCTATATATGCTAACTTTGTTATTAACTTACGTTATTATTACTGTATGTTTTAGTGCGATAAAGTAAAAAATAATATATACATATATACCTGCATATATAATTATGCTGATAAATAGCTACTTTAATCATAAACAAATCCACACAGAAGTAATCTTTATCGATCGAAAAATAATCATTTTAAATTGTTTTAATTTTGTGAAGATCTATAGGCGACGGTTACCACTTTCCTTAAGGTGGGCCGTCAGCTTGTTTGCCATTTTTGCTAAGTTGTATAAAAAAAGATATCTGATAACACACAAAAAAAAAAAAAATAAAGTAAATGGCTAACATTATAAAACTCTCTTTCGTATTATATTGTCTTACTTTTTTATCAATAGTATGATAGTAAGATTATATTTATTCTGATGCGATACATATTGCACGATTCAAGTGTACACACAAATGTTACACAATGTGATGGGTTAACATCTAGAACATATTCTAAGATCAGACCAGAAAAATAAAAAAGTACAGTAGTTATTCTTTGAAACAAATAATTGACAATAGCTACCTAGCAAAGTTAGTTTTTTTTTCATGAAAATAGACAGTGTAAAATGAAACGAAATGTACCTACTTTGTAACACCAACGCCAAGTAATGTAAGGGTAGTTTAGGCAACATAAATAATCATAAATATAATGTAATTGTTTAAAATCGATTTTTCTAAATAGTTCTGGCGATCTGTGCTGCATTTAAATATTGAATAGTATCAAAACATGAATCCCATAAAATAATAACAAACGCGAAGCTAGGAATTCAACAACTATAGGTCGCTGTTTTAAATTATTCATCATGTCAGCCTTTAATTGCTGACCATAAGCTTGTGGGGGAGGGGTGGGGGGGTTTCCAGTAGTTGCCATGCTTGGCAAGCGGATTGACAACCGTAATTAGGCTTTAGAGATGTTTTAAGAGAGACACTGCTGTCCATCCCTCGTCCTCCCTTAGTCGACTCTTATTTTAATTATTATAAACTATTAATTTATCATAAAACGAAGTTGAGCTGAAAGCTAGATAGTTTATAAATTCTATGAAATATTTTGTATTTTTTTTCTTATTAGTATCAAACTACAGCTCTTTGCACCACGTCTGAGTTTAAAACTTGACTTAACACTTTGCCCAAGATTGTTTAGTTTTCGCTTTTCTGTATTTAATGAAGTCAGTTTCAGAGTGTACTTTATTATAAAAATCTACGAGCGACTGACTCAGCTGATAGCCTCCAAAACCAATATTTGACTAAAGAATTGTTTGACTAAATCACAGATACAGATGAAGATAGATGACGCAATTACTTCAACCTTTATAAAAAGAAACCCGAAAAAAAAATTTATGGTAACAAAATAAATATTGGACCACCATGAGAGTACCTAAACGATTACAAAATTAATAAAAAAAAATATAAAAAAATGTGTCATGTGACATAAATACATAAAAAACAAAATAGGCGAATTGAATACTTCCTTCTTTAGATGTCGCTTAACGATTATTTTTAATTACAACTTATAGTTATTAATCGTTCTCTAACCTACTTCCACATACAATTATTGTTTTTTTTTTTCAATCCTGTAAGTATTTTTAACATTAATATGAAACGGAGGAACAAATCGAAATTTAGACGGAGTAGTTTCTAAATACACTTAATTATAGCTTGGTTCGGGCAACAAAATTACACACGGAGTAGCAATTGCGACATCTATTTAGATCGATATCTGTGAACTGAGCATACTTATAATGAAAAATATACAACTTAAATAACCCTGTTATGGCTATGATTAAACATTTTTAAATCGAAAAACCACGTATATTAATTTGCGCGTAATTTCCACTCGAAGCTCACGGAACGAAATTCCAGACTTAACTCATTAAACCGTCCGACCCAAGTCCTTTTCGTCTGTAATTACATGTAATTAAATTTCACAGTAACAATGCCATCGAGCAAGAACCAAAAAACAACTTTGCCGAAACGGAGCTCGCCTCACGGACCGGATGAGAGAAACCCTGACCTAATACCCCTAAGTAAAGGTAAATACTATTTAATTTATATTTGAGTACATATTATCATTCCATCAGCATTTGGACTTACTTAAATATACATTTGATGGGTTAAAGTGACATGTTACATACGATGTAACTGGACTAGAAGCATAGAAGTAATGTCTTTTTCAACCGACTTCAAACAGGAGCTTGTCAATTTGGTTATGTTTGTTACATCATAACTCTATCAGTTCTAAACCGAATTGGAATTTTTTTTCTTATCTGTAAGGATATACTAACAGATTGGTCGCATAGAAATTTTATCGAAATCGGTTTAGGAGTTTAGTCTTTAAATCGAAATAATTATTTTTGTCACATTTAAAGGCAGTTTGCATTGTTGGACACAATCTTTGATTATTAATTAAAACTAATATATGGATTATTGTAATTAACCGTAATTTCTAATAATTATGATGAAAGTTTAATAACAGTTATAATCCTGAGTATTATTAAAAAATAATTTAATTTTCAATATTTTTTAAACATTATTTAAAAACTGCTCTTTTGGTCAAATGATACATGAGAGAGTAATCATAAAAATAAATTACACATATTTAACAATTTAATAACTTCATAACCTTTGAAGGTGCCAAATAATTTAATATGTATAACTGACGGGTTCTTACCATAATTCATTATTTATTATTGTATACACGTATTTCTAGCTTATATTTCCATTTATTTGTATGCACATAAACACAATATTCCAACGAAATATTCCGCGAATATCCAGAGAAAATCGTCATCATGGCGTGCGAGGAACGAAAGCCGTGTCACAGATGTCGCCAAACAGGAATGCAGCGACTTAAAACTCTCGAATTACCCTTGTTTTGTTACGTGCTGAGACTTGGCTCGTTTTACTTTAAAACTTCACTTATTAGGCAGAACTAACCTTTTACTCGAGCGTTTTAGGGTTGCTCGTAAACGGAAACCAGAGTGCTTAAGCACTTACGTTTTGTTTCGCCTAGGAATGCTGTATAAGTCGTATTTTAAATGTTTAATTTGGGAGTTCTTGAGATTCTGTGCAGTGTTACTGACTAACTCACCAAGTTTACTTACTGGAAATACTGGAAATTTCTGGATCGACGAAGATATTTCTGGCGTGGTAAATATGCTATTTTACGCGCCTACCTTTACTTGAACAAAATTCGAAGTAACCTAAGACAGTTATTTTGAACTTTAATCTGGTGAGCAGAAATTAAATTAAAAAATCTTTCATTGAAAGTAAACTAATTTTTTTTTTCTTTCTTTCTCTCTCTATCTATATCTTCTTTAAGGTTTTATTCATATATTGAAAGAGGCAAGTCTCTTTCAATGCATATCGTTTAAATAATGCAGACTACATTTCAATTTCAAAAGTTAACATTAACTTAACTACGGGTACATTGTAACGATTACTTTTCTTTATATCAATATTACAAGCTTATTATTTTAATATGAAGGAAATCTGGTACCCTAAGATACAAGCTACAACTCAGTCGCTCCAAATTCTCGGTACAGAAACAATCAAATTGACTTACAGCAATTTGTGGAAACTTATTATTAATTCTTGTAGAAATTCCCACGTCAACGGAAGATACCGGTTTTCTTAGGGTTTTCTTTTATATTAGTTTGAAGATAATAATTAATTTTATTTTTGTTATAATAATTTTCTTTATTCCATTTCAAATTTCCTCTACCTCCGTTCTTATTTACATTGCTCATTTGCGGTATTTATACACGTGTTTATATATCTATAAAATTAGCCCACATCAACCCACTTCTGGGCATTGACCTTTTTTATATCGTTTTACTTTTAACGATCCCGTACACGTGTAAATTTAATATGTTTCCTATTTTCAATTGTAGCTTGAACTGAAAAAGTGTAACTAGAAAGAAAACTTTCTCACAACTGTCTCACTACTGGGTGTTTGTGTCTTCTTGTAAGAAGCTGATACTATTACCGTATTAAGTGTACTCGTGCTTGTGTTTGAACTAAGTACGGTATACGGCTTCATTTGGAATTTCCCTTCTCTTGTACTAATACTAATTAAATTTGTAATAAATATGTAATAAATTAAATTTGTATCCTTATTTAAGGAATAAATTAGATTTGCATGCCTACAATTTTAAGGCAATTAGACAGATGCCAAAAAGTTGTGTCACATGGCCCTTATAATGTCAAATGTCTGTTTAAAGCAAATAAATATTTCATTTCATTTCATTTCATTTCATTTCATTAATATATTATGATTTGCTTCCATTGTTGTCTCAAACGAAGTTCCCAGGATGCAATTAAGTGGTGACATATTATATTCTGATAAGAGTATACAGTAACTTCAATTTCCAAATGGTTGCTTCTAAAATTAATTTCATAAATTTTTGAAATAATTTTACTAATTCCGGAGATAGTACTGAAAGTTAAAATTGGAATCGAAATAAATTGTGTATTGTCGCATTAGAAAATTTGGAAATGAAAAATGCTCGCATAACACAAATAATGTGGAAAAAAAAAAAATTGTATTTGGCCGGAATTAAAAGAATATCTCTTGAGATTGTAATTATAATAATCATGTTTAAAATTAAAATTATAGCTTTAAATAAAAAAAAAATACTTTTCAATTGACAATGTAATATTCATTACTTAGAAATAAAAATCTATAAACTGAATAAAAGCGGACGCAACGTAAATAATGTGGAGAAACAAAATATTTTGTTTTTGGCCAGAATTAAATACAAATATCTTGAGGTTGTAATTATAAAAAATAAGATAACATTTAAAATTTTTGTTCTAAATTCGAAAACCAGACTTGTTGAGTTGACTATGTAAATTTCATTAAACAGAGCCAGTTAAGTCGAAGCTACGTTTGTATAATTTTCAGTTCAAGCTGAGAAGATTAGCGGGTCAAGTTTGTTGCTTCAATTTATTTTCTCTTATTTATTTGTTTGTTTAGATCAATACCGCTTCGTTGCGAGCGTTGAATAATTAGTTTAGTAGTAGTAACAGGCCACGGCTTGCAGTTAACAAAGTTCCTTGGATGCAGCCTTTTTATGCAATCACTTAGTCATTCTCAGTTTGTTACTTATTTAATTTCTATGTAAATTGCTTGGCCGTTTCAACGTCTCTGAATTTAAATCTTTATTAATCATATTTAGAACTCGGCGTTATTTTAATTGAGTTTGGATTGATTTTGTTGTTGTTATCTCTTACTTCGTGTTATTCCGTTCTAACGTTGCCATGAAGCCGTATATTATGCTAAACTTCTTGGAAAACATATTAATTAGAATCATGTGGGATTTTTCATTTTGGAAAAATATTTAATTACTTTTTATTATTTTAAATACTTTATTTATTCTTTACTTATATCGAATACAAGAAACTTAAAGAAGATTCAAATATTTTTGGTTTGAGTATTTTTGTTCGATATTAAAAAATGATATTAGAAATCAGAATTAAATTCTTCATAAATTTACATTTTCTTTAGTAGATAAAGGTATATAGACAAATTTGCTTGAAAGGATGCTGTCCATTCAAACATATTCTGATAGTAAATATAACCAATCATATTGGAATATAATTGTGAATACAATTCATCTGAATCAGAAAATTATTTCAGTTACTAATAATTTTTATCATTATAACAAAATGAATGAATGAGTATACTTTATTTGCATTGTACAATATATAGGAAATAAGCAAGGCAATTTACAAACACAACGATACAATTGTATAAGTACAGTAAGGCGGTTTTATTGCTGAGAGCAATCTTTTCAAGACAACCTTAAGGTAATGGACTAATTGTTGTACAAGTAAATATGATAGTACTGTATAATTAAAAAGCATCTTTTGCAAGTTAGAGGGGTTATAATAAAAGAAATAGAAGTCAAAATAATATATTTGAGGTATTTTGGTAACTGGAACGTATTGATGACGTTCTAGTTAATCACTTTTATCATTTACAACTAAAACTTCTTAGACAGAATTATATTACCGAAACTTGCTTTTTAAATTCAAACAGCCGTGTCACTGAAATAACAAAAGACAGTTCTAAACTTTAAAGGAAAATTTGTACAACTTATTTATAACACAAATCTTATTTAGTCAACAAGATGCCGTCTTTCATAATATTAAAATGTTCAAATTCCTAAGGAAAGTTGTTTATATCAGCTTGCCAAATTGTAGGCTGCCGATATTTTATTATAGTGTAGTATTCGAAAATATTTTAAAATACGTAACTTTGCATTCGAGAAACCTAAATCATGAGTTAAAAAATTTTGTAGTGTAACTGGAATTGTACCATGCTCGGAGAGTATAACACTTTAGATGTTAGGAATGGCAATGAATGAACGATATCATGGGTAACACAATATACTCTGTTATATCCATGATACTGTTCCTGTCTACAGCCGACGTTTACCACATTCCATTAGGTGGAAATTATGTACTAGAGGGAGATTTTGTACAAAAGTCGTTTGCTTGAGTACCTTTGTCCCATTCGTGTTTCTACCGTGAAGCAGTTGCGTTTACATAGCTGTGTTCCGGTTTGAAGGGTGGGATATGGCGTGAATTTACAGGGTACAGAGAAATAAAACCTGAGCCCTCAGGAATGGCAACGCATGGGGGGTATCACGGGCGAAACAGTATATTCTGTTATGCCCATAGTACTGTTCATGTTTATAGGCGACGTTTACCACTTTCCATCAAGTGGGCCGTTAACTTGTTTGTCATTCTAAGTTACACAATATGGATTCATATACTATAGGATCGAACTGCTAAAAGGTAATTTTTAAACATGTTATTTAATATTGAATAAACAAATATATGTAATATTATTATTTTATTTTTAAAGAACATGCACGATTTATTAATATCAGTTAGTATTTTCAATGATTAGATATCTTGGGCTATTGACTTGAGCAGTGGCTAATGACACAAACGCAGATATAGTGATTCTAAAGTAACACCGTAGTAATATTTTTATTGCGTATTTATAATAATTTTACTTAATATTTTAAACATTAACCATTTTGAAATATTATCTTGAGCCACCGCTATATATGGTGGTCGCTACAAAAAGTAATTCTACAGATTTTTTCCCCCTTTGAGTAGTCACTCAAAATAACAAATTGCATATTAATAGAGATGCTAGATTAACACCATAGTATTATAGTATATTTCTTTTAATATCTGTTAAAATTTTAATATTTTAGTTATCTTGAATGGTTAACTTGAGCCGTTGCTATATGCAGCGGTCGCTGTATAAAGTAATTCTGCAGATCTCGTCTTTATTCCCCTTTTGAGGTTCGCCTAAAAATAACACAACTGCACAAATTATTAATGATCATATAGTAACACAGTAGTAATATATTTATTGCGTATTCTTATTAACATCAGTTGATATTTTCAATGCTTAGGCATCTTGGACTGTCAACCTGAGCCACCGCTATACGCAGCGGTCGCCGCCGCGCCTAAGAACTCAAACAGCGCGCACAGCTTACCTCGCACTCAGTCGCCGAGCACGCCCACTTCGCCACACGCTCAGTACACTGATTCACAGGTTGGCATACTAACATTAATACTAGCTTCAAAGCTGTTGCATGTAGTGCATGAATGTTAACATTAATAAGTACAGAGTCAACACAAGGAAATACCTTTAACCCTTAAATGCCTGAAATTTCAAATTTGATACCGGGGTTTGTATTGTTTCATTGTTAAATAAATCTAAATATTTTGATTACCGTAATGTCTAAAGTATCAAAAATGACACCAATTTTTTTTTTCAAAATAAATATATAAAAATATCGTTTTGATATTTTTACTATTTTTCCCCATTAGTAAACACAGTAAAGGATACACTTTTATACTTTTTTTTTTTAAATTTGATTTAAAAAATCAGGCTTATAAGGGTTAAAGTTAGTAATAATATAATATATTTAGATATGTACAACAGTAAGTGTATTTTATAACAATAGGTACATATTGTTTACAATAATAAATTATTATTATAACTAACTGTAGTTCGTGGTTTTGCACGCATGACATCGTATTTTCCCTTTAAGTTGAAATTTTCAAAAAATCACTTTTAACAGATCCTTGCGTTATAAACTTAGGTCCCAAATTTCAGCTTTCTATACTTAGTAATCTTGACTGTAACTTTATAATCAGTCACGATAAAAGATTTTATTATTATTTAATATTATTTAATTTATCAACTAAGTAAGCGATTACGTACGCAATAAGTAAGGTGTGCAGGCAGTAAGTTAAGGAATTAATTGGACATGTATAATTTTTTTTTTACAACTCAGGGGGCAAACGTGCATGCGGTTCACCTGATGGTAAGTGACTACCGCCGCCCATAATCACCCATAACACCAGCGGCATTGCAGGTGTGCTGCCGGCCTTTTAAAAAGGATTATACTCTTTTCTTAAAGGTTATGTTGTCGTTTCGGTTCGGAAATACTGCTGCTGGAGGTTGATTCCAAAGAATGGTATAGTGTAGTGAGGAAAGGATTAGTGTAGGCTAGTGTGTCTATATTTACCTTTATTGCCTTCGCATCTATAAGAGTGTTGCGAACTAAATTGACAGGCAATAATAATATTTAAGCTTCTTTTAAATTAAAAATAAACATGTTTATTATTTTACGACATTAAATAAAAAGATTTTATATCACAAAGTAAGCAACTTTTATAAGGGACTATATCTTTAAGAAAAAAAGTAAAAGAAATTGATAAAAAAATACGATACAAGAATAACTCAAAAGACCTTACAGATTATGATAAAAAGAAATATTTTATAATCACGTAGACTTCAAATAAAGTAGATCGGATATCATGACTAAATAAAAACAAGAAAGACAGGAAAAACTATTTGACCAGTCTTTCAATTTTAGATTCTATTTATTCAATTGGACTGCTAGCTTCAATATGCGACAGCGTTTGCAAATCGTTATTAAAAATCACACTTTGAGATATTATTTGCAATATACATATATGCCTTTCATAAAAATATGTGGAATACCGATAAATAAACACGTTTGTTATACTGTGATATTTTTTATAAATCGCAGTATTTATTTTAAACCATAAATAATGCTTACGAACGTTGCAACGAACTATAAATTCATTTTATATTCATATTTATTTAAAATACTTTTTTCATTGAAGTTTTTCAATCCCATATTGTTAAAAATAATATTATATTGTGAATTCACATAATTATTGATTAATTTCAACACATTTTTATTTGATATAATATTAATTATTATTTATTTAAATAAATAATATAATATTAAGAGCATACATAATCTGTATGGTACAGTATAAAATATAATTTTTCTCCTTCTTAAATATTATATTGTATTGTAAAATCTTTATTGTACATAATGTACTTTGAATACATTAAAAGATTTAATATACAATGACGGACTTATCCCATAGAGGGATCTCTTTTAGTCAACCTTTGAGAAGATGTAAGAAAACTATAGAATGTTGAAGGTTGAACGTACAGCTAAATATAAACTCAATAATATCTAGTTAAAGCTTATATTTTAGAATGAATAAATAATGCCAATTATTGGATTTACTTGTAGAATGTGGAAATAACTAAGAATAACTTTAACAGTAACATATTTATTACGTGACAAGACGAAAGTAAACCATTCATTTTGCACTCATAATGCAAAGTACATACCATTCATACATGTATATACTCGTATCTTATATATTTATGAGTGTTATATACATTCAAGTATATTCACATATATTCAACTGTGTAATCAACTATATTTAACATGAAATATAAATAGTTCTATAATTAGTAATAATCCAATTATTGATTCTATTTCTACTTAGTCACCTTTGAGATAACCAAATGCGTAGATTTCATTCAAATGCCTTCTAATACCTATTTCTATTAATAGAATCTTGAGTATCTATTATAAATCAGATCATTTATTAGATCATTTTTTAGATCCAATAAATGTGAAAGTTTGTAAGAATGGATGAATATTTATTATTCTTTCTCGCAGGAACTAATGTAAGAGTTTGAATGAAATTGAAACACGAATAGATTACATTCTAACTTAGAAAATAGGATACTAATTTATGCGGGCAAAACCACGAAAAACAGCTTGTACATTTTTTGTGTTGATATTTTATCAACGTATTCACGACATATCACAGACTATGTGAGTACTACTCTTATCAGTCTGAATTTTTACAGAATTTTAAGCTAAATGTAGGTTTTTTAGTGAATTCTATGGGTAATGGAAAAGTCATAAAAATTTTCTCTCAAAGCATTGAACTGTTTTCCTCCAAAATCATAACGAACTACTGTTAATACTTTTATTTTATATATTAATACTTTTAAAATATTAGAAAAGACAAGCGACCCGACGATTGACCTGAAAGAAAATAATACCCTAACTAATAAATACCATGGACATCATTCTGTGATGATGATGATGAAATATTATGCCGAAAAGTTTGCCACTCATGAGTTGACTCTTCTGTATGTTTTGTCAGAAATTCACTAGCTATATTACTCTAACACATCACTGCACCAGCCACAGTGGAATCTTTGTTGTTTCAAACTAGAAATAGGTGACACCTTGGTTTCTTGCGAGACACATAATACACAAATAACGAACACCAGATGTGTTCCTTGACTGATTATTAACAGCACACAGCATTTTGAGGATCTGGAAACTGCGGTAATTGTTTTGATAACTTACAATTTTCAGCAATAATATATTTCTGTTCCTTTCTAGAGTTACTTGTTTGTCTAAAATTCGCAAATCTCATTATGATATATTGATACAATTTTCAAATTCAAGTTCTAATCATAAATAAAATAAATCTATTAGAATAAATATAATAGATTTATTTACAAGCACTTGTAAATCGTTATTTTTTAAAATCTAATCATAAACTTGTTATCTGTTGAGAAGAGCCCGCAAGAAACTCAACAGTTACTCTTTTATATCTCTGTTAACATTATGTGTATTTATTTAAATGTACTATGACTAAAATTACATGGTCATTAAAAAGCCTGTGCATGATCGACTAACACCATGCGCATTTATCATTCAATTAATCGTTTAGTATGTAATAGTCTTTGCTCAATAAGTGTTTTTAATAACAGTTTTAAACTTATTAAAAGGCAGATCCAAAATATCCTTCGATATCTTATTATAACATTTATTGCCCATTCCTATAAAAGACCTATTAACTTTTTATAAACGATACTTTGGAGCAGCAAGTTTGAAATTGTATCTAGTAATAAGGTTATTAAGTTCACTGTTTTTATGAAACGGTTGAATATTCCTGCGTATATACGTAAAAATATTTGCATATATGTATTGTGAAGTTAAGGTGTGAATATTTGCTTCCTTAAATTTATCTCTTAATGATTCTGATTGTGAATTTCTGACAAAGGACTCAAGAGAGTCAGCTCATGAGGGGCAAAATTTTCGACACAATATCACATCATCATCATCACAGAATAATGTCTATAGTATTTATTAGTTAGGTTATTAAGATCATTGTTTTTAAGAAACAATTGAATATTCCTGCGTGTATACATAAAAATGTTTGCGTATATGTATTGTAAAGTTAAGTTTAGAATATTTGCTTCCTTAAATTTCTCTCTTAATGATTCTAATTGTGAATTTCTGACAAAGGACTCAAGAGAGTCAGCTCGTGAGGGGCAAAATTTTCGGCACAATATCACATCATCATCATCACAGAATAATGTCTATAGTATTTATTAGTTAGGTTATTAAGATCATTGTTTTTAAGAAACAATTGAATATTCCTGCGTGTATACATAAAAATGTTTGCGTATATGTATTGTAAAGTTAAGTTTAGAATATTTGCTTCCTTAAATTTCTCTCTTAATGATTCTAATTGTGAATTTCTGACAAATGACTCAGGAGAGTCAGCTCATGAGGGGCAAAATTTTCGGCATAATATCACATCATCATCATCATACAATGATGTCTATGATATTTATTAGTTAGGTTATTAAGATCACTATTTTTAAGAAACAGTTGAATATTCCTGCGTATATACGTAAAAATATTTGCGTATATGTATTGTGAAGTTAAGGTGAGAATATTTGCTTCCTTAAATTTCTCTCTTAATGATTCACGACATCTCTCGACTTCGACGAAACAGATATTATATACATAATATTATATGATATCATTTCAAATACTATTATATTATTAATTAAATATGAATACATAATGTATTATTAATTAAACTGTTAGTTACTGTTTGAATTATGATTTCAATTTACCTGATTTTATCTTGTGATGTTTCTGTTTAGCATGTTAATCTGTACAATATTATTTTGTAAAAGTACTCGTTTAAATTGTTTATAAAATATTTCTAAAAAATTTTTTCATAATAGCAATAATGAAAATTAACTAAGTAATTGAAATAATACTTAATATATCTTTTATTTTGCTCAATTATTGACATTGTTGTGCCTAGATATGATTTCAATAACCTCTCTTTATCCTAAAACTATCTGGAAGAGACAACAATAGTCAAGGCTGCTTATTGTTGCCTCTTAACTTGCTTCTTAAAGTGCTGTTTTTTTTTTCATATGCGAACGCTCAGGCTGTAGAGCTCCTTATCGAGGTTTTCTATAAATACTACAGTATGGGGTACTTCAAAAAAAGTGTATTGAGGTTTCTTCAGGGTCGGTAATGGTCAAGTGACACCCTTAGAGCTGCAGGCGTTCATAGACTACAGTAACCGTTTACCATCAGAAGGACTGTATGATTGTTTGCTATCTTCGTGATATAAGTCTGCATATATATTTTTTATTGTGACTTTTTTGGAAGGGAACTATAAAGAGTTATTAATTTTATTCATTTATCATGTTATACTTTTTAATTAACTTTTGTTTATATTTCTTGTTATTAATTTAAATAATTATTACAGAGTGATTCGGGCCGCAGCGTGGTAAACGGTACTATGAGATCACACCGTGAAGTTGTCACAACAAGAACACCTTTATTGGCAGCTCATCAAGAGAGTTGTGTTTAAGAGAAAATATTTTTTGTTTTTAGCAAATACACTACTTGTAATATTTGTCATGTCTTAATATAGATATTGAGGTGGCAAGTCAAGGTAATATTGAATTTAATAGTAAATTTATCTCATTGGCTTGCTGTCGCCAATTGAAAGTGCAAGTTAGCTTCTATCATGAGAATCAATATATTGAGTAGAACCAACATCAATATCGTCAAAATATACAAATATATATATATATATATATATATATATATATATATATATATATATACAAAGTATACTTGTTAGGGTTGTCACAAAATTCACATTTAACAAAATATTTGAATAAACGACGCGTATGCTCTCTGTACGATATTTGATGTCCTAATTTTACTGTTTACATCAAGCCAAGAATGTACTTCTGTATGTATGTATTATTATTGAATGCACAAGAGTGTCGGTTCTACCCGGATATTTATTCTTATATATCTATGTTTAGTAATCATTTATTTTGTGGTTATTGCGGTTATGTTAATTTTCGTTATGGAATTCAATAAATGATTATAAATTTACATGAAACAACTTTATTATACTCACAACATTGAATTTTTTATTGTAATATTTATATTATTACAGAATTGTAATGAAATCATTATTATGATCATTAGAAACCATCTATCTTTTGCACAATCGAACAACCAATCATAGCTTATGGTGTCTTGTTACTGGTCAAACTCTCTCAACTGCTATCATTACACACAATCTCTGGGTAAGCCGTACCAGCTTTGGAACTAGTCAAGATCGTCTCTTCAATCTATACGAAGTCTTCTATGATATCTTTATTGGTTTTTTCATTCAAAGAGTCATTAAATACAGATCATCTTTTGCTACATATAATATATCTCTGTCAAATTTCGCTACAAATCTGATCTTGCGCCACTTGGTATGGTATGGTATGATATAGAGAGGGTTGTTCTACACTACGTTTTTATGCAAGTGATCACCAATCGATAATATTTAAATTATGAATTTTTTTTAATACTACATCAGACACACTGCTTACCAAGTAACATAAGCATAGAGAATTGATCGTCTCAAAATTTAGTTCTTTGACTACTAACATAATGCGCTCATATATACAGGACATCTTCGTAGTCTCTTCAGGTCTTCCTAAGATGGTCTATTTAAAATAAAACATGAAGTTATATACCGATAATAATTTAAATAGTATATTTTAATTGCAAGAAATACAAACACACGAATATAAAATTAATTGTCTTTTTAATACAAACAGCGTAATATTAAAATTCAACGATATTAAATTCCAGAGTAAAATTTAGATTTAGTTGATTCAACTAATAATCATAAGTAAATTTCACAATAAATTTTGTTTAAATTTTTCTTAACTAAATCCATTTTATATTAGGCTATAATAATTATTTATTGTATACACTTTCTTACTTATTTCCGCGGGGTATTTTTTCTGAATTTATTTGTAGATAATTATAGCGTATTTTAAAGTACTTTCTCCTTTTCGCAGTCCGTATAGCTTCATATAGTTTATTACATGACTAAAAAATTTTCGAAAAAAAATATGCAAGACGTTTCGCGACATATAGGCTTATGTTAAAGAAATTAAACGAGATTTTTTTACAATATGTATATTAGCAGATCAGTGATTAAAAATCTTAAAGTAAATAAAACTCAGTTGCGATAAGTTATTGATCTTAAAATTTTAATTACATTTATTTGCGTAATATATAGACGGATATAAGGACAATGACTGATAAATGATGAAATTGTAAATAAGATATTCCTTAGAAATTACGAAATAATCATGTTATAAGATTAGGTAGGTACTCTTTAAGAGAATAAGAGAAAAACTCATTAACTGAACGGGCTCTAAGCTAAGTATAGTTTATTAGAGTAAACTTTATGAAATGTAAAAATCGTTTCTCCCCCCCCCCCCCCATTCTTTAATTATTATTTTAATATTATTATTTTTTATTCTCATCGCACAATCGATAGAATATTGTAATTCTTGTACAGATAATTATTGTAAATGTAAAAATAAATTTTATTATCACAGTTATAATAATTGTTACTAATTTAATAAATTAAATAGATAAATTAAATTATTGTTATTTATTTTTGTTTATGTAAAGAACGTAAGTAACGATGCATGCATCCACAGTATTAGTTGAAACGAGGTTTAAATATATTTACTTATTATTTTTTATATACCTAATGATGTCAAAGTAAATAGATACATTTTTCAGAACTGACTTCTTAGCAGATATCAATATTTCATTTCAGTGAATTAAAAATGTATTTAAATATTTTATTGATACACTGTATTTATTAGATATAATCTTCAATAATATTACTAAATATTATTTTTAGCAATTGTTTTTAATTTGTCATTTATTTTACTTCGATTATAATTACTTTTGAAAGTGTAAATATGCGATTGATAATGATTGTATGTATAAAAGCTTAATTATTAAGCGTAAAAAATTTGACATGGACTGTTGTATGAATCAAAAATAAAAAAAAAAAGGCACGATTTGTTTGCATGAACGTCTAAATCAATTGCTCATTAATATTTATGAATTTAATCTTTACGATGCACGGAGTTATTATAATAAAAACTATTGAGATATTAAACAAAGCAAAAATCATTTTTTTATTACATGTGATTCAATAAAATATCGAAATTTAATTACTTTGTTTTATTTTTTACCCATAACGCAAAGAAAAGGGTGGTATAAAGTATGAACTAGAGACGCCCAGAGAGTTTACACTCCTTTTGCAGTCTGAGCGACGGTAAGTCAACACTAGGCTCTGAGCAGTAAGGTATTAATTGGCATGAAAGGCCTCGTTTAAAGGTGAAACACAAGTAATATATACGAAGACTGAATGACGGTTGGAGATTGGTGACTAGTATGGAAGGTTGTAGAACTTCTAGTAATAATAAAAGTAGTCAATCTTCGAAGGTTGGCAGTCATACGCATACTAATGGTAGCGGAATTAAACAAAATAATTCCAATCAAATAACCAGTAATATGGACTTCTGCAAAATAAAACCTTCTTCAATAAAATAAATATAAATAATAATAAAAAATAATTACTGGAAATTGCGACTTCTTTAGTGTCACTACAAAAAAGTAATAAATGCTGCAATAATTTATGTAGATAATGTAGAAATAAAAATGAAAAATGTGTTTATCAAATTTTATTCAAATTCATCTAGGCAACCTAGATATTGAAGACATTAATAAAACTAGTTAGTAATTTGGATCTATATTCAAATATGTACGAACATCTTGGCCAATTCTGAACTAATTTTGATGTTCCTTTTATAAATAGTAGATAGGAATAAGTACTTTTTAGGTCTACGCTAAGTATTTTAAAATAAATTACATTAAGTATATCGTTTCTTTGATAGTATAAAATACTTTAAACAAATCCAAATCCAAAAAACTGAGTAAACTCGACTGAGTTACCTACTAAATTAGAAAGCAAAAAATCTGATAATTAAATTTTACGCAACATGGTGTGCTGAGGAAGCTAACGGACTATACTTGATGGAATGTGGTACTGTTGTAAATCGTCGAATATATAATGTGATTATTAGAAAGAAAAAATATATTCAGAGAGAATTATGTATTTTTACTAGAACAATGAAAGACAAGACAAAAAGGTAATATCAAATAGTAATTTTAAAATTATATCAGAGTCTCTATATATTTCCAGCCATTATCAACAGGTACTGCATGCGAAGTAAACACCACGACATTTTTAAGGACTAAAGTATTATACCCCCATACTATTTCCACCATCACTGCTATAATCCTTCAAAATAGAAACACAATCATACAAGCCCAGCTACTTGACGGCGCCAGTACAAGTCGGACATAGTACTCAAGCAGATAACGTTCGTATGAAGTATGACGTTGGTAGAATAATATCTATTATTCAGCACGTTAGTCATGTTTGTAGTAGCAGAGAAAAGGAAGAAAGAAACAAAAAATGTAATCAAATACAACGTGCTCTTTTCACGATATACTCGTAAGTATTAAAACGCAATAGTTTTAAAGCCAAGACAATAAAGTACTAACGAAATATCCATAACTACCACAAGCGAGTGAATTAATTGAAAGGAAAAAAAAAATGCGATAAATAATGGCGTACAAGAAAGCTCGATATTCGAAGGCATTGTACCAAATGATGCAGGTCGAAGGCACAAAGCGTTTGTCCCACGTCGGGAAAGACGAGGCGTTGGGACCATTTGTTACGCATTCAATGCTGGCCCCGGCTATTTATCTCCCACCATTGACTGGTCGAATCGTCGATCAATTCTGAGCGTTTCTATCTGCGATATATCAACCGTTAATTCCATGTTTAATCTTAATGTCAATGCGGTGCCTATATTTCTTATTACATATATATACGTCACGCCTGTCTTTCTGTATTTAGCTATATACAGTAGCTTATATTTATTTCATTTTATCTCTGTATAATGGATCATCTCTAAGAACTTGTATCGGAAAATTATTTCTTTCAAACCAAAAAAATACTGGTTCGTTTGAATTTATTTTGTGCGTGTAATTTACGTGATTACATCATCGTTACTATTTTTTTTTTATGCAACTTAGAATGGCAAACAAGCTGACGGCTCACCTGCTGGAAAGTGGTAACCGTCGTCTATAGACATGAGCAGTACCATGAACATAACATAGTATACTGTTTCCTATCCGTTGCCATTCCTGAGGACTCAGATGTTATTCCTCTGTACCTTGTAAATTCACGCCATATCCCACCCTTCAACCCGAAACACAGCCATGCAAACACAACTGCTTCACGGTAGAAACACGAATGGGACAGAGGTACCCAAGCAATCGACTTTTGTACAAAGTCTCCCTCTGGTAAATAAAGTCTAAATCGAGTTTTGTCATTATATTTGCAATTTATAAAAACTATATCAAGTACTGTGTTCGTCATTATTATACCAGCCGTTAACTGTCCACTGCTGAACATAAGTTTCCCCCTTGGGAGATTTTGCCAGTAGTTTCCACGTTTGGCAGTCGGAGTAGCAACCGCAGTTAGACTTTAGATATATTTTAAGAGGGACGCTGCTGCCCATCTCTCGGCCTCCCTTAGTCGGTTCATACGACATCTACGGGAAAGGAAGAGGTAGCCTATTCTATGCGGGGACCACACGGCTATCATTCTGTGTTAGTTTCATATTGATTTCGCCTATTGTATCAAAATTTTTCTTTATAATGTGGTCACTGGTCAATAAAGACAACTAACATGCATAATGATGTATGACGATTGAAGCTACACTTTTTCGTTAGTTACCAAAAATAGATTATTGTAAAATGAAATCTGCATATAGACGTATTATTCTGCAATATAAATTCAAAATATTTATCAGTGTAATATTGCTAGCAAAATAATACGCCCTATTAATGCTACCTCCTCGTGGTCCCCTATGGAGACTATTGTAAATAATTCCTAATGAATTTGTCATGATAGGCCAACTGGTCTGACTTCATCCAACTATCATCACTTACTGATAGCCGACTAATGTATACTGAATCGATAATGAAGGTGGAGTTACCATCAATTTTCATTCCAAATAACAAAATACGTTTATGAAGTACAAAAGTCGGTCTTATCGCTAAAGCAATCTCTTCCAGACAACCTTTGGATAGAAGAGAAAACAAACTATGTATATTCTACAGTCTTTTGCATTTATTTTATTTATTTATTTATTTAAATCTTAATGCATAGTATAAATGTACATACATTTGGCCGACTTAACACCGGATAACATTCTCTACAGTCAACCCGAGTAAATCGAGAAATAGGTAGGCTGTGCATTTATGAATTGAGGAAACAAAGTATGTAGTTAAAATATTTATATATTACAAATGTATTTCGTTTTATAAATAAAGATAAGCGGAAAATATTATTATGATTTTATATTTAGCGTGAAAATAAAATTATAATAGCATTTATAATTTCACCGTAATATTGTCCGTGTGGTCCCGGCATAGAATAGGCCACCCCTTCTTTTCACATGGGTGTCGTAAGAGGTGACTGAAGGAGGGCTAGGGATAGGTAGCAGCGTCCTTCTTAAAACATCTTCAAAGGATATAATAGGTGATATAGTATATTCATGTAAAAGTTTAACGGCTGTTGCCGATTCGCCTGTCAAATGTGGCAACTACTGGCAAAACCCCCAAGACAGAGGCTTATGTTCAGCAGTCGACAGTTAAAGACTGATATAATGATGATGATTGTCTAGGTTGTATGAAATCCAAATCTCCTTCCAATATATTTTCAAATTTATTTTATTTAAATGTTGATATTTTTATTTCATGAATTGAATTATTGGAATTTATTTTAAATCGATTTACTTGAATTAAAACCATCTTTATTTATGTAGATAATTCTATTGCCACCTACAAAAACAAATGTTTCTTGTCAGTTCGTCTCACTTGACATAAAATATGAAAAAAAAAACAAAACAGGTAGGTATTTCTCTTTAATAATTTAAGATTTAGTTTCACAAAATTATGCACATTTATATTAAATCTGATCAATTAATAAGTAAGTAAATCTTATCGAGAAATCAAAGAAAATCCCGAAAAGATACGAGTACATACAAAACTGTCAATTCCAGACTCTTATTCTTCTAAACGAGTTACAATGCATCAAATTTCATGAATTCAGTAACCACTTGCATAAATGTTTTAAATGAAAAAAAAAATGAGAAATCCCTAAAAAAAACCAACATTTTTTGGTATTTATCTTTGCCTTCTTATTCTTCACCAACAAAGTCAAGGCAAGTCGGCCACAAAAAAAAAAAGTTATTATAGAAAAAAGGCTATATAATCACCATAATACGGCCCAATCGTATATGACTCTTAACTCTCGAACCTTACAAATAAAGCGATATCTGTAACCCAAGAGACTCCTAAATACAATCCAATGACCTACTCGTCCTTTCTATTAATCTTTTTAACAGCCGTTAAAGAGATTACGTTGCCTGCGAATGGGCACCCCTATTCTTTCAAGGGCCTAATTAAAATCGTCAATTTGTAAGGATAAGGCCGACTTATCCTGGTTTAGCCCAATTTAGTGATTACAATTTAGACGTATCATTTCTATTGTAATTGGTGATAAGCCAATTTGTTTCTTACAATATTTAAATCATTTCTTTTCGAATTGTAATTGTATTAAAATGAATTGTAAGATGGATTTTAATTCATTTCTATTATTATGTTATGTGTAACTATGGCAATTGGTAAGAATTGACATAGAGCGATTGGTGTAGCTTTTTGGTACATTCCTTCACATTCTGATGGTAATGCTTATTTTATTTTCATTGCATTATATTTGTATTGATGAGTTTTTTATTGTATTGAACTATTATGTTAAGATTAATTTAAAAGAGTATGTATTTACGTATGTCTATCAGTTATCTTATATCCATAGTATAAGTATATATTTCTCAATACTCAGAATTGATGATGTATGCGAAGTGCATACGTAAAGGCGTAGTATTATATTTTTACGTAGATGTTATTAAAATTTATTAACAGCATTTTTCAGATTTTGGACTACAAATACACAAGAAGGCATCTCTCATAATAAAGGTCGAAGTGATTCGTAAATAAAAAAAAATACGTATTGTTCAGAAGAGGCCAA